TATTACAGAAACGTTATTCTGAAAATCGCAAAGTGGTATGGAAACCCTGCCTTCACTCAAGCTCTATACGCAAGCCTAGCATTCTAACAGAAAAGATAGATGACTTAAAACCAACACGTAGAAATCTACTTTCCATTCTCGGAAATGCAAAGAAAATTCTGACTATGGCAAATTCATACAATATGAAATGCAATCCGCCAAGTCAGAAAACAAACAAGCCAAGCTATTTTGCCATAACTTAACTCACGACCGAGTGACCAAACATGATCAGAGGTGTTAACCCCATCTCACCGGAATCGGGATAGCTTCATTGGGTATCATGAATATACCAATAACTGAGGAAAATAGCGAAAACAGTTATGGAATGGAAAGACGCGCTCCACCTATCCACCCAAAGCCCGGCTAAGAAAAAAAGCAAAACTCGAACCTCCGTAAATGCCGTCCGGAGATAGCCTATTGAAAAAAAAAAAAAAAACACAAAAGGATCAAATAAATAGAATACCAAACACTGCATATATACCTTACAGAGAAGTGTTGATAGAAAACGCAATGCCACCTTGGGGAGGTTAGATCACATTCCTGCTTTAATATGGAATGAATATAACATACCGATACCTATAAACAGTTCCCACACTTAACTATTCCAAAGTGGCTTGACGGGAACGAGCTTGGTCAAGGTAAATCGAGTAAAGTGTAACCGCCGCTTGTGTATCTTCAAAAGACGCGGAATCCGCGGGATTGGAATCGTGCTTGTGTTCACGGGAAGAGCACTGATCAAGGTGAGCCGAGAAAAGAATAACGGCCGCCTGTGCGTCTTCAAAATTCGCAGGAACCTCAGTATTAGAATCGGGCATATGTGCACCAGCAAAGCTTTGCGCTGGTCTCGGGCCGTCCGTACCACCGGCAGATTCATTGGTATTATTTTGATGGAGGGGTGCTCCCCCATTACTAGTGGCCGTAGTAGAACTTTCAGCGGGAATCCTGTGCCCTCTGGCTAGTTCTAGGAGGATCATGGCGGCTTCGACGTCTATGTGGTGGGCGTCAAAGGGTGATTCGGCAAGATCGGCCAACAGAGATTCCGAGACTTCATCCCCTTGTCGCTTTTCTACTTGTTCGTCAGGAGTTTCTTCGTATTTCCCTAATTTCTGTCCCCTGGAGTTTCCAGCACCGAGGGCGGAGCTATTGGGGGGGTTAATGGAAGGCATGCCGGTGCTAAAAGCGTGTTGATTTTTGATTAAATTCGACACACGCAATGACGAAGAACTTCTAGAACGATACCGGGGTGGCTAGTTGTAACGAGCTCAAGGAAGTTCTGACCTCCCGTAGCAGTGAATCTCTCTAAACGTCCTGGTGGTCGACGCTAGGTTTCAGGGTAGGGCAAACACGAGTGATGCTCTGTGAAAGGATGTGATCTTGCAGTCTTCTAGATTACTTGACCGAATAGATTCAGGGCAATAGAGCCTTTTATGACCCGAAACCTCAAAATTCAATGCTGGGAACAAATCGTCTTTATCATACTAACCTAACGTTCATATCATAGTATCGAGTAATTTCGACGAGGGTATGTATATAGAACAATTTCCAGTAACTCCCGCCACCTTCACCAAAGTACCACTTAAAAACATAAGCATCCCAAGCTATTTACCCATTTATGATAACTATCTTCCTTGGGCCAATTGTGTCCAAATCCGATGATCTCAGGTTATCGTGCCCGCAAAAAGAAAATAACCGATAGGGCTAACATCATAGATGCTACGTACAAAGGCCAAGCCTCCCAAACAACTCAAAACACGCCAAACTTCTTCTTCTTCTTCTTCTTATCCTCTTCGTAATATCTACCGGGTTGGTGATGATGAACCTTTAGCCCGCCCGTTTCCTTGACCGGTGGAGCAGGGCTCGTTGAAGGTTTTGGCGCCGCAGGTTTAACCTGCTGTGAGGGCTGTACTACAGGTTTTGGAACCGGGTCGGGCTCCAATAGATGCCTTGGCACCTCCTTCGGCGGCATGTCAGCTGGCAAAGCTAGAACTCTCCTCGGCTCCCTCGATTTTTGCAGCTGTTCTAGCCACAATGTCGGAGTGAGCATGTGTGAAGATCCTAAAAACACATCGCGAACAGATGCTTTGGAAACCTCGTAACACGCACGAGCTTCAGCATATGTGGCACCTCCAGCCATGAAAACGATAATCCGCTGGCGAGGCTCGATCACAGATATTCTTGATTTAGCCCAAGTGGGCCTAGCTGAACGCAGAGATGCTTGGGAAATATTTTCCTGGCCGCCCATTGGGCCTCCTGGTACCAGTTCTGGTTTGGTGTAAGGAAAAACAGCAGGGTCAAGGGTCCCCTTAGTATGATCCTCGAGCATAGTCTTGATTGCTGTCAGAAACCGAGAGAAGTCAGAGCCTTCCTCTTCAGCAGGAGATTTTGGGCCGCCCTTTCGCTTTTGAGAAGTGTTCCGATTTGGGCCCGGTTCCTTAAGGGACTTCGTTACACGAGCACCGAGAAGATCAAGGTTTCGAAGTACCCGCTCGTCATTCCTTTGCAGCTGGGAGTGGCGGATAAGCTTCTGAATGTCACCTTCAAGCAATCCGTCTTTCCAAAGAAGGTAAAGCATTATAAGGCGAAGTCGATCTGGAGGACTATGGTATATCAGTACAATCAATATGTAAGGCATTATTAGATATTAGAAGACTCACGCTAAGGCCGGATCATCGAGGAGTCGCACTAAAGACTCCGCAGGATTTTTTGTTGGGCGCCCATTTTCATCAAACCCGGTTGCCAACGCCTGCTCGAGAAGTGCCACATCTGGGAGGTTTTTCTTCTCGAAAATACCCATGCATTCCTGGGCCATGGTAAGATGGAGCGAGTACATATCCTTTTGTCCTTGGTATTGGGGCAAACTCGCCATCATGTCCCTGATTGCGTACAAACTTGTCGAAGACCCGCTATACGACCTTAGATCAGCACTCGCATCAAAACAGCGCACTAGTGCACAAACCTATCAACAAAGTTCTTGTTGTCCCCTAGGAACTTTTGGAAGTCGGCCATCAACTTTTCAATGGTATCTTTCATATGTTTGTGCCTGTTAGAAACCCATACTTGATCTTCATCCCCAATCACCATCTGTTTCTCCTCCTCAGCACCACCGGCAGTGGCAACCTTAACAACATAAGTTACTTTCTCCCCATCTTTTATGGGCAAAAGGTCATGGGCCATCGCTTGATAAGTAAACTCGTGGAGCGCGGGAGCGAATAGATCTATAGATCTATCTACAACAAACAGCACTCCCCGAGGCCTATTTGAGGGTGGAGGGAAATCAGGGTGCCGCTGGGCGTAGAGGTCCAATTCTGTCTGCACATTCTTGGCGAGTAGCTCTGATAAAACTCGAGCTTCATGGAATAGATTTGGTGGACGAAAATATCGTATAGTAGGATACTCTCCAAGAGATGCGCAAACACAGACGATCTTCCTAGACAACCCTTCCAAATGATCCCTCACTAAATCACGACATTCTGGATGGTATAAGTTGTAAAATGATGTCGGCTCACGGAATGTGTAGAGATGAGACTCTCGGGGGAAGAAATCAATCGATAGAACAGTTTCACCAGCAATAAAACCACGAGCAGGAGATTTCAAGATCATGTCGCGAAACCTATCATCAAGCTCTGGGGCCACGGCATAAGTCATAATGAAACCAATATCAAACCATCTGCCAAGAAGTGGAGGCCAAACCTGAAGTCCACAGTAAATGTGCGCATGTGTACCGAGGCTTGGTACGAGCAAAGTCTGATATCAAACAGCGAACAATGTGCTCCTGCGGTGTAAGGATATAAACACATTCCATTGGTTGAGGCATTCGCTTTGACTCGATGAGGGAAACATCTGATTCGCGTGACACCAGATGGTCAGCTTTCGAACGGTACTTCTACGTACGATAAATCACGGCAGGCAAACCTGAGATACTCTCATCGAGAATGAGATGTGTTTCCATAACATTTGTGATCAACTTGTGACTTGTTTCGTCGGTAACAACACATCTCCACTATTGGATAAAGGTTAGCTTTTCTAGCTCATTGCTGTGAAAATAAGTAGACAAGGGATCTAGAAACCGTATTTGGAGGTTGTATAGCTTTGATTGCGTCCAAAACAGCTATTGAAAAAAAAATACAAGTAAGCTATGAAGCCCGGAAAACTTAATAGATTAGGACATACTCTGCTTTTGGATTTCTATCAAGGAGACGACCATGGTGGGGGTATAGGCGGCTGTCTCGCCGTTTCTCAGGGGACAAGCTGTCTCTGTTGTGTGTTTGTGGGCTGTTATGTATGTACAAGAGGGGAGATAGAGGAGGAAGAGGTGAAATTGTTTATTAGACAAGCTCTCTGATAGCTCAAGGGTGGAAGCGCAGATAACATATATAGAATGGGCAGACTGACGGGGAAGGGTGAGCGAGCAGCAAGGGGCGTGGATGGGGGGGCAGAGGATAGCGGAGATGCCAATCTCACTCAATCCTAGGATGAAAAAAAAGAACCCTAGCCCCCAAGAGACCGGACCGATCTTACTCAGCCACTTAGCACTACAGCCACATGAGCAGTGGTATGATTTTTTTTTTTATGATAATAATATACTCAAGTAGCCGGATTGAAGTTAGAAGGCCATACCGCATCGCTTGCTTAGCAACTTTCTGATTTCAATCCGGCCGCTTGAGTACCGTACTCGTACGGTACAAGTACACGAGTATTATAATTATCATAATAATAATAATATTATTATGATACTTTCCTGCGTAGGTATGATATGATACCTCAAAGAGGTCCAAGGCCGGGTAACATAGTGGATGTCAATTCAGGAGGAACAAGCCCAACTTTCGCCCTAGCCACGCCTCACCAACCCCAAAGGATTGAGTTACCCAACATTCCAAAGAATAAGAACCTTCTCAATAAAGCTCTTACGAAAAATGGAGGGCCTTTATTTCAATGTCGATAATGGTTATATAGAGGGTATAGTGCGCGGTTACCGTAATGGTCTGCTCACAAACCAGAACTATGCGAACCTCACACAATGCGAGACCCTCGATGGCAAGCCAACCTTATAGATTTCTACTCGAGCCTTTTGCTAACATTTTCCAGACTTGAAGCTTCAACTTTCACCGGCATATGGCGATTACCTCGCAAATGTCCCTTCGCCTCTATCGACTTCTGTTATTGCTGCCAAAGCCACCGAAAAGCTGATCGCCGAGTTCAGATATATTCGCGCGAACTCTACCGGAACACTCGCCAAATTCATGGATTTTCTCACTTATGGATACATGATCGATAATGTAGCGTTGTTGATCACAGGCACTCTCCATGAACGAGACACACGGGAGCTTTTGGAACGATGTCATCCGCTAGGAGTCTTTGAGACCATGCCTGTCCTTTGCGTTGCCACGAATGTTGAAGAGCTCTACAATTCCGTCCTCGTGGAGACCCCCCTAGCGCCATACTTTAAGAACACCTTATCGAGTGCAGATCTAGACGAGCTCAACATCGAGATTATCCGCAATACTCTCTATAAGAGTTACTTAGAAGACTTTCACAATTTCTGCATAACCACACCCGGCCTAGCTGGAACCCCTACAGCTGAGCTCATGAGCGAAGTCCTGAGCTTTGAAGCTGACCGCAGAGCTATCAATATCACCATCAATTCCTTTGGAACCGAACTGAGTAAGCAAGATAGGAAAAAGCTTTACCCGAGCTTCGGAAAGCTTTACCCTGAGGGTAGCTACATGCTCAGCAAGGCAGACGATGTTGAGGGTGTGAGAGCCGCAGTTGAAGGTGTCAGTGAATATAAGGCTTTCTTTGAGCAAGGGATGGGGCAAGGTGCTGGCAGTGGTCATCCAAAAAGTTTAGAGGACTTGTTCTACCAGAAAGAGATGGAGATTTCCAAGATGGCTTTTACCCAGCAGTTCACCTACGGCGTTGTTTTTTCTTGGGTCAAATTGAGAGAGCAGGTTCATCCCCACGACTCCACAACTCCATTACTTGGCGAGGTTTGGCTAATCTTATTTTTGCTTCAGGAAATAAGAAACATCACCTGGATCGCTGAGTGTATAGCTCAGAACCAGAAGGAGAGGATTGGTAATTACATAAGTGTTTTTTAAATGTTGGTAATGCGTGCTATTGGGGTACCGAATAATCACCTCACCTAGTCTCTTTTTATGTATTGTTTCTGGTTGTTTTGGTCAATGTAGTATTACCCGATTCCTACGGTGTTATTTCCTTTTCATCCTCAACGGTGCTGGAGGTTAATGCCCATCACCTAGCAATATCGTCGAGGCTCATTTGACGCTTTTAGAACACCGCAAGATGACTTTCCTGCAGGCCGGGCCCCACTAAACACCAATTATAAATATCTAGGGTATTATATCCTGGATACCATAATTTAAGCTTTCATAAGCTATTAAATAAAGGGCAAAATTGCTAATAGATCGTGATACCAACGAAAATATTCCTCAAGTGTAAATATCAAGCTTAGCTGTGTGCAGTCGCTCAAAGATAAAATCATTGAAGAAGTAGGGTTAGGGTTTAATTGACATCTTCATTGAGTGCAGATTGTTTGCCTACAGTTCCTCGCCACTGCATCCACTCTTTGAGTCAACATCCAAATCCCTTCCACAACAAACCAATCGCGGTCCCAAACTCCTAGTGCTTTTCTACGGCTTCAATAAATCCTAATATCTGTGCTAACTCGCTTAAACTTTCTCCTGTTCTCTCTCCAGAGCCTTACTCTCCAAGAGCTCACTTCACCGCTCTTAAGACTTCCGGAGGCCTTGCGGTTACCCCATCGCAATCATGGCGGACCAATCTCAGTACAAGTATGCGAACATGTCTAACCTAGTTCTCCAGGTAGATAAGCGGTTTACCCACCGGCGCACAGACGAGGCTACCGGAGACCCAGAATCGTTGGCTGGGAAGGTCGACATTAAGCAGATGGGAGATCGTGCGTTACGTGACAATGCGCCGAAGGAGAAGCATATCAAAAAGAAGAAGCAACTGAAAGAAAAAGACATCGATGGGTTAGAAGATGGTAAGGAGGAGAAGCGGAAGCGGAAGCGAGAGTACGTGCCAATTCCGGTCCCCATTTTTATCACCTTGCGAGGAAAACGCGTTTCGAGACTAACCAACAAACTGTTCAGTGCTGCTACCTCTCATGGAGGGAGTATTCTTTCAGCTACAGATGATGTCCTTGGTCTTGTATACCATCCACGCACTGCTGAAACGAGAGAGGCTTACTCGCTCATTCTCACTCTGGTTTCTACGGTTCTCGGCGATGTTTCTCAATCGGTGGTTCGTTCGGCTGCCGATGCGATATTAGAAATCCTGAAGGATGAAGACCATTCAAAGAAGGATTTCGATAAAAAGAGAGAGATTGATGATATTCTAGGGGAGAAAATGCCCAATGATAAATTTACAGACTTAATGAACCTAAGCAAGAAGATCAATGATTGGAACGCTGGTGACGAGGATGAACAGATGGATGGGCGAGGAGATGGTGCTGGTGCAGAGGAACTAGACGAACGAGAGGGTGTTGCCGTTGTTTTCGATAACGAGGACGAGGACGAAGATGAGGCGGCAGAGTTTGAGGTTAAAGACGGAGATGAGTCAGATGAGGATGAGTCCGACGAGAGCGAGGACATGGAGGATAAACCGAAGGAGGAGGAAACTGAAAGCGAAGATGAATTAGTGATTGGCGGGGCCAGAACCAGGCCTGGGGACAGAGGCAAACCAACTGTGGATGAGTATGCTGTTCCTGCGCATGATATTGATGCATTCTGGCTACAACGTCAAATCTCTACTAAATACCCCGACCCTCATCTTGCGAGCTCAAAGACCACTATTGTTTTTGAAATCCTTTCCGACTCGGAAAAGACACAGCGTGATGTTGAAAACGATCTTATGGAGGTCTTCGATTACGACCACTTCGAACTTGTTAAGCTCCTCATGAAGAACCAACCTAAAATAGTTTGGTGCACCCGCCTCGCTAGGGCTGGTGAATCCTCGGAGGAGCGGGTAGCGATCGAAAACGAGATGGTGAGGGATGGCTGTAGGCGAATCTTAGACGAGCTAAGGGGAAGGGAGGCCGAGGATGGGAAAGAGGGAAAGGGTAAAGGAAAGGCTGATCTGATGGAAATCGATGTACCAGCATCTGCCGTCCCCTCAGCTTCAGCAGCCGAACGGAAGCCCGGCGGTCTTATTGGAGATCTCCAGCCACGGGGGGTAGTCGACCTGGAGTCCTTCATATTCGAGCAGGGGAGTCATCTCATGACAAACGCTAGCGTAAAACTTCCTCAAGGCTCTACTAAGAGAACTTTCAAAGGGTATGAAGAGATTCATGTCCCAGCCCCCAAGCGGAAACTTGATCCCAACGAGCCTAAATTAATACCGATCTCCGATTTACCTGACTGGGCGAAGACCCCCTTTGTTGAGTCGAAGGAATTAAACAGAATCCAAACAAGGTGTTACCCATCAGCTTTTGAGGACGATGGAAATTTGCTTATTTGCGCTCCTACTGGCTCCGGAAAGACAAATGTTGCGATGCTAACAATTCTTCGAGAGATCGGAAAGCACCGCAATCCCGTTACTGGAAATATCAAGCTTGATGATTTTAAAATTGTCTATATTGCTCCTTTGAAAGCTCTCGTCCAAGAGCAGGTCGGAAATTTCGGCAAACGGCTTGCTCCATATGGCATCAAAGTCTCAGAGCTTACTGGCGACCGGCAGCTCACAAAGCAGCAGATTGTGGAGACACAAATTATCGTTACTACGCCCGAAAAATGGGATGTTATCACTCGTAAAGCCACTGACTTGAGTTACACCAACCTTGTAAGGTTGATTATCATTGATGAAATTCATCTTTTGCATGATGAGCGTGGCCCTGTCCTCGAGTCGATTGTGTCCAGAACAATCCGAAAGATGCAGACCACTCAGGAACCCGTCAGGCTTATTGGGCTTTCCGCAACTTTGCCTAACTATCGAGATGTCGCAAATTTCTTGCGAGTCGACATGAAGACAGGTGCTTTCACTCTAATACTAATACGTATACCCAGTCTGAGCTTGAATACTGATCGTTCTTTATAACAGGTTTATTTCATTTTGACGCAACCTTCCGACCTTGTCCTCTTAGACAAGAATTTATTGGGGTTACGGACAAGAAAGCCATTAAACAACTCCAGGCCATGAACGATATTTGCTACACAAAGGTGATTGAGCAGGCGGCAAACAACCAGATGCTTATCTTTGTCCACTCCCGCAAGGAGACTGCGAAAACTGCGAAGTACATCAGGGATAAGGCTCTCGAACTAGAAACGATCCAACGGATTCTCAAGAGTGACGCGGGCACGCGGGAAATTTTGCAACACGAGGCTGATCAGGTTGCGGACCCCAATCTAAAGGACTTGCTGCCATACGGATTCGCCATCCACCATGCTGGAATGAGTAGAACAGACAGGAGCACAGTTGAAGATCTGTTCTCAGATAAAGCCATTCAGGTTCTCGTCTGCACAGCTACCCTTGCTTGGGGTGTCAATCTTCCCGCCCATACAGTCATCATCAAGGGCACACAGGTCTACTCCCCCGAGAAGGGAGATTGGGTGGAATTAAGCCCGCAAGACGTGTTGCAGATGCTTGGTAGAGCTGGTCGACCGCAATATGATACCTATGGTGAGGGTATAATCATTACAAAACAAGCAGAGATGCAGTATTATCTCAGTCTGCTAAATCAGCAATTACCCATCGAGTCACAGTTCATGCGGAAGTTGGCAGATAATTTGAACGCCGAGATTGTGCTTGGAACTGTCAGGACACGATATGAAGCGGTGGAATGGCTCGGTTACACTTATTTATATGTGCGAATGCTAAGGTCGCCGGCTCTCTATTCAGTTGGAGCAGATTATGCGGACGACGTGGCCTTGGAACAGAAGCGAGTGGATCTAATTCACTCGGCTGCTGCGGTGCTAGAGAAGTGCAACCTGATCAAATACGACAGGAAAACCGGAAAGCTGCAGTCTACAGAACTCGGAAGGATTGCCAGTCACTACTATATCTCCCACAATTCGATGTTTACTTATAACATTCATCTTCAACCGGCATTAACCACAATCGAGTTATTCAGGATATTTGCGCTGAGTGAAGAATTTAAGTATATTCCAGTGAGACCGGAGGAGCGTTTAGAGCTTCGCAAGCTTCTCACCAGAGTTCCTGTCCCAGTGAAGGAAAGCATTGAGGAGCCTCAAGCCAAGATTAACGTTCTCCTCCAGGCTTATATCTCCAGGTTAAAGCTGGAGGGGCTGGCATTGATGGCGGACATGGTTTATGTCACCCAGTCAGCTGGCCGTATCCTGAGAGCTATCTTCGAGATCTGTCTCAAGCGCGGTTGGGCCTCAGTTACGAAAACTGCTCTTGATCTTTGTAAGATGGCAGAAAAGAGGATGTGGCCAACTATGACCCCGTTTCGACAATTTACTGCGGCCCCCACGAATCAGCTCGCCCCCATTGTAACGAAGGCCGAGCGTGCTGCTGAGTTCACCTGGTCCAAGTACTTTACTATGGATCCCCCTCACCTAGGGGAGCTCTTCAACAGCGCAAGAGCGGGAAAGTTGGCCCACAGCTTATTAGAGAGGTTTCCGAGATTAGATGTTCAAGCTCAAGTACAACCGGTAACTAGGAGCCTTCTCAAGGTTGAGTTGACCATCACACCTGACTTCATCTGGGACGATGCATATCACGGCACAGCAGAGACATTCTGGATCTTGGTTGAAGATTGCGACGGTGAAGAGATACTATTCCACGATCAATTCATTCTACGCAAGCAATACGCCGAAAGCGAAAACAATGATCATCTGGTTGAGTTCACGGTACCAATGACAGAACCAATGCCTCCTAATTACTTTATCACTCTTGTTTCCGATAGATGGATGCACTCAGAAACTAAGCTAGCCGTATCGTTCAGGAAATTAATTCTTCCAGAGAAATTCCCACCACACACACCCTTATTGGGTCTGGTGCCTTTACCTGTTGAGGCGTTGAAAAAACCGGAATTTGTCAATCTCTACCCTGAATGGCGGGAGTTCAATAAGATACAGACTCAGGTTTTCAAGTCCCTATTCGATACAGATGATAATATGTTTATTGGAGCTCCCACCGGAAGCGGGAAAACGGTTTGCGCGGAGTTTGCGCTTCTCCGGCACTGGTCTAAGGACGAAGAGTCCGGAAGAGCCGTCTACATTGCTCCCTTCCAAGAACTAGTTGACCAGAGGCACGCGGATTGGAAGGCGAGACTAAGCAAGCTCGGTGGCGGCAAGGAAATCGTCAAGTTAACTGGGGAAACGAGTGCGGATTTGAAACTTCTCGAGAGAGGTGACTTGATTCTGGCTACACCAACACAATGGGACGTGCTTTCAAGGCAATGGCAACGACGGAAGAATATACAAACAGTAGAGCTATTTGTGCGAAGGAGCTCCACATGCGGGGGGACAAACGGGCTTCATTTACGAGATGGTTGTATCCAGAATGCACTACATCGCTGTACAGACAGAAAACCCAATGAGAATCGTTGCTCTCAGCGTCTCATTATCAAATGCTAGAGACCTAGGCGAATGGATTGGAGCCGACAAGCACACTATTTGCAACTTTAGTCCTAGCTCACGTCCTACCCCATTGGAGGTTCACATCCAATCCTACGGCGTTCCGCATTTTCCATCGATGATGATGGCCATGGCAAAGCCTGCTTACTTAGCCATATCTTTAGCGCCTCCAGACAAGCCAGTAATTGTTTTCGCCCCAAGTCGAAAGCAATGCCGATCCAGCGCACTGGATATTCTATCGTACTGTGTCGCCGGCGATGATGAGGATAAATTCCGTAATGCCGATTTGGAGGATATTTCCTCACATCTAAAACTTATCCAGGAGAAGCCGCTTGCAGAGAGTCTGTCGCACGGAATTGGGTATTACCACGAGGCACTGAGCAAGAATGACAAGCGTATCGTAGAGAGTCTATTTGAGGGTGGTGCTATCAAAGTCCTTCTGGCCTCCAGAGATGTTGCTTGGGAACTAAAAGCTACCGCTCATATGGTGATTGTCATGGGCACTCAATTCTTTGAAGGGAGGGAACATCGTTACATTGATTATCCCCTGAGTGAGGTTCTTCAGATGCTTGGGAAGGCTTCAAGGCCAGCCGAGGACAAATTTGGCAAAGCTATTCTGATGACTACTGCAGCCAAGAAAGACTACTACCGAAAGTTCTTGAACGAGGCCCTCCCTATCGAGAGCCATCTTCCAGCGTACCTACACGATGCTTTCGTCACGGAAATAAGTACGAAGACCATCGGGTCGACCCAGGATGCCGTTGATTGGTCAACTTACACATACTTTTACCGTAGACTTCTTGCCAACCCAAGTTATTACAGTCTAACAGATATCTCTCACGAAGGGCTTAGTACCCATCTCTCCGAGATGGTAGAAAACACCCTCAAGGATTTGGCCGAGGCCAAGATTGTTGATGTTGATGAAGAAGACGACACCGTCACTCCCCTCAACGCCGCCATGATTGCAGCATACTACAACATCTCCTTCATAACAATGCAGACATTCCTGCTCTCACTCACGGGCAAAACAAAACTCAAGGGTATTCTGGAAATCGTCACCTCAGCCACGGAATTCGAGTCTATCCAGATCCGCAGACACGAGGACCGGGTACTACGTCGCATCTACGACAGTGTCCCAGTCAAGATGTCACAGCCAAACTACGAATCCCCGCACTTCAAAGCATTTGTACTTCTCCAAGCCCACTTCTCCAGAATGCAGCTCCCTGCGGACCTAACAACCGATCAGGCTGTAGTGTTGGGCAAGATCCTCAACCTCCTGAGCGCTTGTGTGGACGTTTTGTCTTCAGAAGGCCACCTGAACGCTATGAGCGCTATGGAAATGAGCCAGATGTGCGTCCAGGCAATGTGGGACCGCGACAGTGCGCTCATGCAAATCCCATTTTTCACACCAGAGCGTGTCAAGGCTGCTGGCGAACTCGGGTACCCTTCACTCCTCCCTCCAAATACTGATAGCAAAAACCAAACTAACAAGTATCACAGCATCAAAACAATCTTCGATTTCATGGACGCCATGGGTGAGGACTCCACCCGCACCCGCCTCCTCCAGCGAACCTCCATCACCGAATCCCAACTCGGCAAAATTGCCCACTTCACCAACAAAAAATACCCCAATATCGACCTCGCCTACGAACTCGAAGACCCTGACTCTGTGGTCGCTGGTTCCCCCTCTTACATCAAAGTCAAAATCGAGCGCGAACTCGACGGGGAAGACGAGAAAGCAGAGGTGGACACGACAGTGCATGCGCCCTTCTACCCCCAAAACAAAATTGAGAATTGGTGGATTGTTGTTGGTGAGGAGAGTAGCAAGGCTCTCTTGGCGATCAAGAGGGTTACGATTGGCAGGAGGTTAGATGTCAGGTTGGACTATACCGTGCCAAATCCCGGCAGGCACGAACTCAAGTTGTTCTTAATGAGCGACAGTTATGTCGGAGTTGATCTTGAGGAGGATTTTGAGGTTGAGGCTGCGGAGGGGATGGATGAGGATGGTGACGAGGAGGACGATGATGAGTAGATCGTTGCTGTACTCGGCGACAGGGCTGATTGAAAAAGAGGGGGGTGTGATTGGGAGGTTGTAATCTAGTCCCTTCCCGGTCTTTCTTTTTTGCTGAATGAGGGATGGTGGGGGGTTCTATATCAAAATTGAATTCCACCACAATGTTTCCCTCGTCCATGTTCTTAATAGTTTTGTACGATACTATAGTGACAGATGTCGAAAAAGAAAAGAAAAATCACAATATCTATCATTGCAAACGACCCGCCATAGCAGATAAAAACTCCTAGCCTAAATTACATCGCTTTCCCATGGAAAGCAATTCTCATCGCCAACCATGATTTAACTTATGATACCACATTATATCATGGCTCTATCAACCCTTACCATACTAAAAAAATGCATCAGGCCACCGCATTCGCCATAACTACATCCTCCTCTCCCTCCTCCTCCCCGACATCCTGCAACTCGCTCCCCTTTCCCTGGTGCTCCTCCAAATCCGCCAAACTCCATGTTGATATACCCTCCTGATCTTTCGGAGCGAACGGCTGCGCCATGGTCCTTAGAAACTTCTTTGCGATGGCAACCGCCATATCCGTCGACAAGTTGACGTCCGACTCTAACAGGGCTTGGTTGATCCACTTGGGCAATTGACTCCGCTTCTTCCCGAACCGGCGGTCAGCGAGTACCATTATTCCGTAATCATCCTTTCCACGGAGGACACGACCGAGACATTGCGCTGCATGGCGCATGGCGTCGAAAGAAAGGAAGTCATTCTCTCGAATGCGGTAGTTTTCGCGGAGGAATTCGAGGCGGGCTTTTAGAATTCGGGACTGGGTGTATTGGAAGGGGACTCCTGTGTACATAATTGTTAGTGGCGGGCGCGAGTGGGTTAGGGTGAGTTGAAAGGCTTGCCTATACAAAGCACAGTTCGACCGAAATGGTGGTCGAAATCTATTCCTTCTGAGACTTTGCCACGGGCGACACAGAGCATGACCGCGCCTCTGCCGTTACAGCAAGCGGTTCGGTAGGTTTCTAGTGCTAGACTGGTTTCTTGACTATCGGGTGTTTCTACCAGGATCAACTTATATTTCCAGACTTCGTCTAGGATTCCCTGCGAGTAACCAATCAGTTTATGCTCGTGTCATACTGGGACCGAGAAGGCCTACCATTCCTTGCCACATACTGATAATGCTCTCCATGTATAGGTAACTAGGAAAGAACACAACCATCCCATCAGGCGTAATCTTGGAGAACTCGACCAAAAGACTCCCGTAATTTCGGACGACACTAGGGTCATTTCTGATCTCGAAGCGTGTACTAACAGCCACTTGGTCACTGCCCCTAGTTACAATCATTGGCAAGAAACTTCTTCGCGCAAGTGTCATGGAATACGACTCTTGCACAACTGTGTTGAACTGTAACATCTTGGGATACATCTCTAGCGGAGAGATAGTTCCTGAAGTGATGACAACTGAAGAGAACCTCTCGAAAACCGGCCTGATGGCAATAGAAGCATCTAAACAGGTAAAGTGGAGAATAGGGTTCGGCACAGTAGCTGTCTCAGACTCAAAAGGCTCAAGAATTAGCAAAAATCCCTTCTCATATGTCGCAACCAAAGTTGCAAACATAGCGACTTCTTGCAGCGACTTGTAGTCCTCAATGTTTGCTAACTCTAAGGTTCGGACAAGTGAGGTTAAACGTTCGGCGCAGAACCTATAATTTTGTCAGACTAATTCATCTTCCCCCAAAGCTATTACAAACCTCAACGGCTTCTTCTCAATAAAAGTCAAGTCCTTCAAGTGCTGAAGAAATGAAGCGGGCGTTTCCGAAATGACATGTAACACTTTCATTCTTGTCTTTGCACAGTCAACCCTAATATGTCCGCCCAACGAAGGGCGCATATACCTTCAGGTACTCAACAAACCGTTTCAAAAACGCCAGGAAATGCTCAGCTCTCCTGATATTCCCGGGTATCGCCTCCTTTAACAGATCCTTAGGCAATACTATAAATGTCAATTCCCAATCCTGTTGAAATAAAGCTAGCAGTCTCACCTGGATTAGCCATAAAAGAATCTTCTTCAGTTCCCTCATCAACGTCCCGCAAGCCTTCGACAAGTTTCTTATACTCGTTTTGCAGTTTCTCCGCGTCTGATGCCTTCATCTCGTTGATCTTTTTCTCAAGATTCTGCGCACCTCTAGCTGCTCGACGGAGCGAGTCATCTGTCAAGTCAATGCTAAGAGACTCGATGCATACGTTATCTATCACAATCCCGGACAAATAATTAACTCAAGTCACCCGTGAAGCTCAAGCCGAGAACTAACCAATATTATGCGCCTCGTCAAAGACAACTATACAATCCTTAGAAAGCTCCTTGGAAACCCTCTCAGCGATCTTGGGATCCAACAGATAATGGTATGAGTAGATTATGACATTGCAAAACGGCATCTAAGGTAGGATGTTAACACAGAGCTCGGCCAATCCCGCTCGACAGACCACCAACCATTCTTCGGGCGGTAAAGTAGGGACACTGCGTATGCTTCTCCCCATACTTCAACATCCCATCAAGCGTATAAACCCCAGGCGTAATCAAGTTGTGCGGTTCGAGAGTGTCCAGATTCTACCAAAGTCAGCACCCACCCATAATCGCCACCCTACCATCGCCACTAACCACAGGAGCAAGAAATACCCACATCATGGAATACGCAAACTTCAACTTCCTCCCCCCTCGCCTTCTTCTCCTTGACGAACCCTGCCGTTAGACTCCTACACCTAGCATCAACAACATTGCCATTCCTCTCCCTCCTCACGCTCGGATGCAAGCAAAGATTCTTCCGACTGGTCAACCCTAACCCCCGGAACTCCTCCACGTATCCAAGCTCCTTACTCCGGTACGCCATGAGCGCCTTCAACTCTGCCAGGGCCTTCTCGATCTCGGACATGGTGCGGGAGCAGTAAATTAGCTTCCTGGGTTCGGGGAACGACTGTTGATAGGCTACGATTAGTGAGAGCAGGGAGACAGTTTTACCGGTTCCTGAAGGCATCTCGAGGACGCAGTGGCCACCGGCGTCTAGGGTTCCTATAAAGATTATTAGCGCTTTTGTGGAAACTAGAGGGAAAAGTAAATACTCTTGAGATCTGTCATGTAGCTTCATCGACAGCAACGTCAGTCCGAATACGGAAGCCCAAGGGCTCAAAGATCCGATAAACATACGCATATTGCTCTAGCCAACGTTAGCAATCGCTCCCTTACAAGCTCAACGAAGATACCGCCACTCACCAGGGTAAATCCTTGGATAAGGGAAGAGCACTTCCAGTTCACTAGATAGTTTAACATTAACTCTCGCTCTTTCTCTGACTTGGAGCCATAGGATAACACACTCGATCTTGAACCTCATAGCGAGCTGTGGTGGGGCGGCACGGTGGAGGGGGGAGGTGGGGCGTTTTTTTTTTTTTCGCTTGAACGATTGAGCCTCCACGTGTGGTTTTGGGCGGGAGACGCGTTTGAACGATTTCGCGAACATCGCCAAGACTACTATAAATATCTGATGGACCTTGACCCCGACCTGGGGGAGGCTCTGCTTGCTCCACACACGCACCCGCTAATCCGCACGAGTGATAAATTATGCACGAACAAAGCAAGAATTCGTCCAAATCAACATCCGTTACCAGATCCAGTTCGTATTCCCAGCCCGGAGTCAAAAACTGCAGACACAAAGTACACAAATTTCAAGAGTAAAATGAGAAACAAATAGAGGAACCCTCAATTATTCATATAATGTGAAACACACCCTCTCCGGCCATAGCCAGAATAAACCTCAATCAATTATACTGCTCGATACGCACGATCTACCTCCTCCCTGTACTTCTCTAGGATACCCCGGCGGTTCAACTTGTGTGCACTGGTAACCAAGTTCTATATCACAGTTTTCCATTAGTAAAATTCCACAGCGCAAATCAGAAAACAGGGCTTACGTTTTGGGGCGTCCATTCTTCCTCAGTGAGGACCACTCCCTCGACCAGCTCAATACCAGCAAGACCACCCCTTCTTCCTACGGCAATGAGATCTCTCAGAACAGCCACCCTAACCCTATCATTGTGAACAAGCTCCTCAAGCTCGCCATCGACACCGGCCTCAGCAGCAAGCCTCCTGAGTGGGCCCTCAACAGGAACAATAAGCGCGACTGGTTTTGTCCTGTTCCGGTCTGCATAGACACAGATGTTGGCTACCAGAGGACAAGCGCGGTAGACAGATTCCAACTAAAGAACACCGGATCAGCATCGCTAGATATACATGCAGTCCCCCGAAACAAGAAACTAACTTTTTCAAGAGCAATGTATTCTCCGTTAGAAGTCTTGACCAAATTCTTCTTACGGTCGATAATCTTGAGATGACCATTTTTGTCCCATTCACCGATGTCTCCGGTCTTAAACCATCCGCCCTCAAAAGCCTCTTTACTCTCCTCCTCATTGTTGAAATAGGATGTGGCCACGGACTCACCGCGAATCCAAATCTCACCTTGTTCGGGCTCGTTGGTTGTAAAGTATCCCGCATCAGGGAAGTCAACAAGCTTGATCTCGACACTTGCGGGAACCGTTCCGATACTATTGACGTTCCACTCAGCAGGATCCATGAGAGCACCCATACTGCGACAATCAGTTACGATCCAAATTATACTCCAAAAATAGGACATACGCCGAGGTCTCGGTCAAACCATAACCAATAATCATAGGACAGAGCACCATACTGATGAAATGCTGGGTTTCCTTGGCAATCGGACCGCCTCCACTCATGCATATCTTCAACCTCCCACCAGTAGCAGCCTTGATCTTCTTAAAGACAACCGCATCTAACACTGCAGTTCCGGGAATGCCGCTCTGGAGCAGGAAGCTCTTCAGGGCTAGAGCCCCCCAAAAGAGCTTTTGAGCCAACGCAGACTGTTTGGAAACCTGGTCCATAATTCCCTTCTTAATTGTCTCCCACACAGCCGGCACACCAACTAGAACAGTGGGTCTGAACTCCTGGATGTCGCCCTTACAATTCCTCACAGATCTATCGGAAATGGTCTTGGCGCTTCCATAGCCCATAGTTCCTCCCCAGAAAATACAGGCGTTCTCAAATACAAGCTCAAAGATGTGGGCGAGGGGTAAGAAAGTCAATAGACAATCACCAGGACCGATATATGGTTGAGTAATAACGGTAACACCAGTAACTTCATCGATCGGTCAGCTGCGCCTCAGACAGGCATCTATCTAGGAAACGTCATACCGCCTGCAATTACATTCTTCTGGAGAAGAGGGACGCCCTTGGGTGTTCCAGTGGATCCCGAGGTATACATGATACCAAAAAGATCCTCGGGCCCAGATGGGTCAGGCTCGATAGGATTTTCTTGTCCAAGCTTCACAAGTTCATCAATGCTGATGATCCGCAAACGCTCATGGGCCTCTTTTAGTTTATCGATGTGCTCCTGCTTGACCTGTTGGTCACTGTTGTAGATAACATATCTCACCCGGGTAGCCTCCTTAAGTGGGCTGACGAGTCGAGGAAGAAGTTGTGAATCCAAGAATATGGCCTTCGCTTCCGTCTGAACAAGTGAGTGTGTGAGGCCAGACTCGCCCAGGGTATCGTAGGCGGTGACAATTGGTAGCGACTGAGAAGCGCACCCTGCAAACAGCCACCGTTAACAATTGTCCATATTTAACTACCAAGACCGGAGCCACAAAGCTTACCATGCGACATCCCAAGCCAGTTTGCGCTGCCCAAAGTTACAATTAGCAGCTACCCCTCGGGCCCCCTGCACTTGCCACTGAAGTCCCGGGATATTGAAACTTGCCTGGTAGCAGCAAAAATTTGTACTTTCTCACCCTTCCCCAGCCCCAAAGCTTTCAGCCCCGCACCGATTATGTTAACTCTTTCCAAGTACTCTTTGAAGCTCAAAAACTTGTAACCGGACATTTCATAGTAAATCCAAGTTTTTGGAACCTCCTGGTCAACGCCATCGACAGCTTTCTTCAACATTTTAATCTCCTCATGTTGCTTGACGAGTGTTCTAGAGCCCAAACATTTGGCGTCACCGAACTTCGCAGCCCCTCTCTTAACGATGTCATAGGTGGTCGCGATATCCGGCTCCAGCCGCGATCTGAGGCCGTTAATTGAGCCTGGATGACGTCGGGGAATTCCTTCTCCCTCTTTCTTCTCAACACCCGGCACCTGGAGATTGAAGGGAGGGCGTTTGCTCATGCACGGCCACAAGACTTGTTTGGTCTGGGAAGCCATGACGACAGTGTCTCCTTTGCTAACTCAAGCACCGCACGGTGACGCGGGGGAGGCAAGGTGAGGTGGGAGTACTGTAGAAAAAGGTATATGTGAAGGTTGAATGCCCAGCACGGCAGTAAGGAAATACTCCGGGAGAGGAAGTGGAGTAAAGGGAGGTATAGGGAAGAGTGGAGCGAGGATGGCGAGAGGGAAGGCGGGGGGAGGGAAGGGAGCACGGGTATTAATTGAAATGGGAGATTTTCTGGGGTCCCACAGGATGATGAGGTGTTCTGAGGATGTTGGGGGTTTGATCCGGTTGATGATACAAAACTCAAAGAGAGTAGTCTAGTAAACACCATCAGGCGCTGAATACGGGGAAACCATGATACAGTAGATCATTCCCTCCTTCGTTCGAAACCTAAGTAATTAACGGTTGGGGGTGAGGCACTACGATGCCCGATAGGTGCATACTACACCGGAGCACAATCAACAACAAAAGGGGACACCTTCCTATCCTTTGGGTATGACACAGATATGCCAGTGTGAGCGAAAACCCCGCATCATGTAAACTCGTTTTATTTTGATAGGGCACTGAACTTTTACTACACTTTCCCCCCTCCATCGCACAAGCCCCCCGGATGTAGCCATATGCATCGCGAGACCTCTTTGGCTGCTTCAGTCTTCGTGGGGGTATTGACGATTAATCCAGCTCAGCCGTCCATTACCCAAACAACGGGAGGCCCCACCATCATCCAAACTAGTTCGGGCCGGAGTCTCCGGTGGAGTTGGGGCAGCGGCTGGCGTCGTGAGTACCAAACTCCATTGTACTCGTAGACTACTCGAGTACATTGGAGCAGCGACAACAACTCAGCCAAATACTTGAGTACAGTAGCCGTACCCCCCCCCTCCCCCCCGGTAGTTGATCTCCACTTCATCCGACACTACCATGCTCACTCCCCCGAGTACTGCGGTACCAAGCCCCGGCTAGCACAGCATCATTCAACCACCACCGACAGACCACAGGCGGAGCGGGACCTCACCCATAAACCCCAACACAGCACACACACCCGTCCAGACACCCCGAACAGAAACGAAAGGAACTCTCCGCACCTCCAATATCCGGACGCCATTGGCGCCAGGATAGGCACCGGCAAAGCCGAGGTGTCCAGGTATTTGGTATTGCCAAGAATACCCTCCGGCAATAACAGATATTAGCATGTGATCGAGTGATTGCCGGTGCTGCACACCCAACATCATCAGGCCAGCAGCCCTCTTTCAAACCCTTACTCGTATACAACCAGATAGCTGTTTCGCATTATGTTGCGTGATGACGACTTGGTATGCCGCGGCAGCGGCGGGAGGTGGAGGAGGGGGTTTGGTTGGTTGGTTGGTGGGTTGGTGGGTGGAGTTCATTGTCTGTCACTCGGATAGGGCTGTTGTATGTGGGCCGAAGAGCACGAGGACTGAGTCCATACGCATTGTGTCGTATCGTAGTACGATCCAAGGAAGACGCGTATTGAAGGGTGTGCTCGTCTATTCGCCCAGCTCTAAAAAAGATAAGGGAGGTGTGATGGTAGCAGGTAGGGCGGGGGGGAGTCAGGATGATTCATTTTTTCTTTTCATTTCTTTTTCTTTCGGTTCGGTATGAGAGAGTTCCGCTCGAGCACTGCTTGGATTACCATGTGCTTTGGGGTCTCGTGGGTTCCGTGGGGGTTCGTGGTGCTGATTCCGAGGTTTCTCTCTGGGCTCATAGTTTCACACAGGACTTTGGTGAGCGCCGGTGTGGGTGAGGCTCGGTGTGTTGAGGATGTATTGGGTCCCCCAGAACTTGAACCGGTATGACAGTCGGGTGTCGCAAATGGCCAGGTGAAGGGGACAAATTGGTTTTTGAAAGTGCAGCTTTGCCCACTTTTTCTTGAGTGCGGGCCATGTGTGTACAAGTACCGGTATGATATTGTAAGGTGCCTGATATGATAATTATCATACCATTCTAAATTATAATACTGTATTATACATCTAAACCCCAAAACTGACAATCGCGATACTCCCCAGTAGGGTAAAAACACAAGAAAGTGCCCCCACATATTCCCTACAGTACCCCGCCCACTCATCGAAGCCCGAGCTAATCAATAACTTCCCAATAAGCCAGCCTCCCAATACCGCTTCCGACATCTCTAACAATACAAGCCTTCTCAACCACCTCGCCTAGTTTCTCCCTCCTACCAAACACCTTTTGCCATGAGAGCGCCCCGACACCTGTCCCCCTCCCTTCCTTAAGGTTGAAATCCCCCGTTGTTACAAACCCAATCAAGTCTTCCTCGTCAGGCACATCGGGAAGTTCGGTCGCTTTTCCGGGACGTTTGCCTTGTGATTTCCGAGACATTACCGCTTTCCACTTCGCCTTTAAAGTAGGGTTGTTGGTGGGGAGGGAGTATATGCGCGTTCGGGGCATAGGCGTGCTGCGTTGTGGGAGGACAAGTTTTATCGAGAAAACGCCCGCCGATAGGATCTTGGGGTGAAGGGTAGCTAGGGGTTTTGGCAGTGGTGAATTGGGGACTGCAAGGATGTAGCGGATCATGCTGGATGGGATCGTCCATGGATGTGTTTGTTGGGGTGTTGGCTTCGGGGGGGATATGGCAGTTGTTGTGGTAGTGCCGGTGAATAGGGTTGGGGTACTGAGAGATACTACTGGTAGGTTTGGAGGGGGTTTGTCGATATCCATTGAAGACATCATCTTTTGTGGGTGTTCTGATTTTTCTATCGAAACATTGGACTCCACAGCTGGCATAGATATCGTGGCCCCCGTGGACTCTGTCGAGCTCATGAACGCTGTAGTTCCAGTGGGGGCTATGTCTTCTGTGGACTCGATAGTATCCGTAGATAACTCGATCGAGTCGTTGCCCTGAGTAGTATCAATCTTCTTCCCCTTCAGCAAGTATGCCCAATCACACACAAACCCATCTCCAACCTCTCCCTTCTTATTTCCAATATTCACACTACCCCACACTACCTTCTTCCCCTTTGGCCGCTTATCCCACCACTCCTTCCTTTCTACCCCTTTCCTAAGCTCCTCCACGATCCCAGCCTTTGTTCCGGGAAAATCATCTGGAAAATGCCTGTTAGAGTTTTCGTAGTTGATCTGCCGCGATTCGTCTAAACCGCCAAACTTGACGCTTGAGCCAGAGTGCACAATACCATACCATACCGGTTGCACCCACTTCCATGGTAATAAAATTGTCCAAGATCCAATAGCTCCCGAAACTCCTTTCTCAGCAGATGAGCGGCGGGTGGCTAAAAGCACAATTGGAATCCTAGGATCTGTAGGGAGGGGCGATGGATATTCTCCCGGAACGGCTTCCCCCTTTCTCTTGTTAATCTTCTTTTGTGACGATTGTGACTTGACAGCAACAGCTCTGGCTTCCCTCGAGAATAGGGATGACGGGGGTTGTGTTCTGTCGATTGACCAGGTGGAAGTAACTCTAAAAATTGTCTCTTGTACTTCTTCAAACTTCCGTTTATCTTCCGGTAGGCGGGGGGGATCTCGAAGTCTTGGATCAATTACATCGAAAGATAGACAAGCGCCTAAGGGAAGGAAGGAGGGGTTTGTGAGCCCCCTCAGATTCTTCCATATTCCTGAAGGAGAATCCCCATCCGTTGCATCAAATGGATTGAGGACTGCCAGGAGAGAATTTGTAGCGTCAGGGCCGGTAATCTCAATGCTTCCAATCTCAAATCGGAGATCTTCCACAGTGACCTTGAGGGGTTTCGCTGTTGGAAGAAGCTCCTCCCATAGCTCTAAGAAGGCAGATGGATGAACCCTAATAAGTAGTTTCCTTATGCGCTCTTCCTGAGGAGCTTCTGGGTCTTCCGGAACGCACCAAATAACCTTAACCGGAGCTATCAGGTCCAACGGATATCTACCAGCTCTATAGATAAATGTATCGGAGGCCCTAGTTCCTGCAATAACCTTACTGCTCATAAGATTTCCGTCTCTAGGACACAAAGCTTTCATAACTTCCTTGACATCCCGCTCCTTCCCTCGCAGCATGATGGTTGAAAAGTAGCTCTCATCCCAAGCAATACATCCTCTCATCCCACTAGCCCTATGCGCAACTCTATAGCTCTTATCCGTTGGTGTCTCCGCAACAGCAAACCTCCACCGAACAATCATCTTTGCCCTTTTCGCATGCCAAACATGAGTTGGAAGCCATGTTTTATGCTTTTGTCTCTTCCGGAACTTAGTCTGTGCCCTCGGGGGCTGCCGTAAAACATTTTCCGTCCTCCTGCTGCGCGAAATCTTCGCCGATATATGAGCAGTGATGTCCTTCTTCTTCGCCATAGTTTGTAGTTTCCGAGCCGTCTCTTTCCGGAACCTTAGCCATCCAGAAGGCCTTCTTCGACGAGCAGAAACCGTAGGGGTGTTGTCGCTTTGCATTTCCCTGGTGGCCCTGGGCCGCAGACGCTTGGGCACACGCTTGACATTGTGACTCGCCGTTCGACGTCGCATGTCTCTGGGAACGATTTGAAATGCACGTTTGTTACTGGACTCCTTAGATGCTTTCATGGCATTCTGTAGCGCTTCAATTTCAAATTCTCGGGATTTGATGAACGCGGGGACATCCAGTTCGCCTGTCTTTAACGCTTGTTCAGTGTTTTGAACAGCAATGGTTCGGGCATCCTGAAGTTTGGCTCGTTTTCGTTCGGGCCCAGAAATCGGCATTGCAGCTGCTCCTCTCTTTCGTGGGTTTGGAGTTGAGGGGGGCATTGCTCGATATTACTGTTGTTTGCCGGGATCTCTGTGAAAGGCTGGTTGGTTGAACAAAGCACGAAACGGGGGAGAAATGGTGCAACGAGTCACAGAATGAAAACCAAAATGATCTTAGTCTCGAGATGCCAAGCCGGTGCCGAAAAGTTGATCCAAAGCCTCATTTTGAGATTTCCATACCAACCCGTTGCGAGCTGTTAACTCATGCAACACCGAAGACACAACGCCGAAGTCAAACATCACTCTAGGAGGAAACCATAAGTCGCTATCATGAGAGGAAAACGCTCAAAAGCTTATCGAAAGTTGATGTCACAATACAATATTTCTTTTGGCTTTCGAGAACCATACCAAGTCCTGGGTAAGAATTTGAATACCTAGCGTGATGTGTTTACAATTTTATGCTAATGTTTGTAGTGGATGCCGAAATACTGAAGGATTCTGACAGATTTAAAATGGATCTTGTCGGTAGTCTCGAGCGAACACTTCAGGGCCAAGTAAAGCCCAGTATGTATTCCCCAAACTTTTTCTACGCCAAAGACCCCACTGACTTGGAAAGTGATAACCCAATGCTCCATCCGCCACCTATACGCCCTGTCCGGAAGCGAGTTTCCCGAGAAAGATCAAATCATAGACCTCGCAAAGCGCTTTGAGCGCCGTCGCTGCAATCACCACGAATTGGAGCAGCCCCTCTCGGAAAAAGAGTGCCTGGAAGCAGTCATCATTCACGGTGGCGAGAACAAGCATCGATATTGTGTTGCTGCTCAAGAAGGGGGCATTAGAACAATGCTAAGGGCTGTCCCAGGAGTCCCATTAATCTACATCAATCGTTCAGTGATGATTATGGAACCGATGGCGCCGATTTCTGCTATGAAAAGGGAGCGAGGAGAGAGGGAGAAGTTTAGAACTGGTATTGTGGATACGAGGCCCAAGGCTTGTGCTAAGAGGAAGAGGTTACCGGAGAAGGAGGGCGGGGGAGGCGGTGAGGGGGGAGCGGGGGCGGGGGATGAAGAGGGGGATGGGGGGCAAGAAAAGAAGAAAAAGAAGAGAAAGGGTCCTAAAGGACCCAATCCTTTGAGTGTGAAGAAAAAAATTATGCCGAAGCCCGCTGCACCAAAGCCAGAAGCCAGCACGCCGAAGTCTGGAGCTAGTAAACCTGTTGGGTGTGGGGAGTCTACGAATGGGGCGGACAACAAAGAAAAGAAGAAGCGAAGGAGAAAGCACAGGAGCGCGAAGATAGATGGGGTGCCAGTAGGGGCCAAGCGTGGATTAGAATTATAAGCTTGATTGAGTCCGTTCGGTCGGGTTTTCCAAAGGGCTCTGCGTCTGTACATAATATATAAATTTCTATAATCCATGTGAAGCTGCACCGGTACTTGTATATAATATCATACGCCCAAAGGCTTATTTGTTTGCTGCGGGATTCACACCAACCGCAGCGGTCAACCTGTGTCCGAATTCTCGAAGGAAAAAACAGTGAGAGCATCCAGTGAATAGTCTGCCCAGAACTGACTATATTCATAATATTATTTTATTTATTTTATACCCTGACATCCAGTAAAATTAAGCAAATGAGCTCTCACAGTCTTGGCGCATCTCAGGCGAAACAACAGCGGGCGTTACAGAGCGTCATTCCATCGGCCGTTCGACTGGAGTTCATGCGCCCTGCGGAGGTAACAGATATACAATTTCCACAAGGAACTGTTGGCCTGATACAAAACTGTTCGCCCCTACTTGTACACTCCCTTCAAACTATCCCATCCGCCGTCACCATTTTTCCCGTCCGGTGGAAGTTACAACCCTTCACTTGACTAGCATAACCATTTCCAGGCTCCACACTCCCCTAAACCCACCCCCCTGTGGCCATGGAGCCCCAGCAACAGCAACCGCAGGGCACCGTGCCCGTTCACCGCTCTCGCGCCGATCTGTCTATGACTTCTCTCACCTCTTCCACACCGACACCACTACAGCAGCAGCCCACTGCCTCCACCACAACAAACACTTCCCCTCCACCACCCCATTTACCTCCTCCGACGCCAACCGCTCCTCATTATCCATACCAACAACCGTTCTACCATCAATCCTCCCCACCCCCTCCGCATCCCACTCTTCCGCCGGTGTACTCATCCTACCAATCTTCCCAGTCTCCGGCACTTCCTCGGGTTTCTCCCGTCGGGGAATATCGCCCCTCATCCCAGCATTCCCATCACTCTCAATCCCCTGTGGCAGCGGACCAATTTCGTCAACCTCATTCTCCAACGCAGCAGTTTCACCACCCTCAACAACACCATAGGACTGGTTCGATGAGTTCACAGTACCCGTCTCAGTCTCCGCAACAGTCAAAAATGCAGCTCTCATATCAATTCCCCCAGCCTAACCAATACCAAGCTCAGTCGCCTACTCAACCTCAGGTCGGAGAATCGTCTAGAATATTACAGAGAGTAAAGCTAACATTTCTAAAGAGCTATTATCTTCCCCGACCAAGCCTGTCCCCCGTACACCCTGTTGTTCAGTCGCCGCATGGGTCCACCCAACCTAGGGCCTCTCCACCAGGCTCCCACCAGCCTCATGGACATTCTGTGTCAATGTCACAAGTCTCGCAACAGCCCAGACATGATCAACCGGCGCCCATATCGATACCTACTCCAGCCGCTGGCGGCGCTCAAAAGCAGCCGTCGCCCAATCCGCTCCCAGTGAACCAAATTCCTCCCGGAGGCGCACCAGCACGGCGATATCTGAATGATAATGTTACACCGACGCTACTTGAGGGTATGAAAATGCTAGCAAGAGTGCAGCCCAAGGACCCATTGCTGGCACTAGCAAAGTTCCTAGAGGAGCAGCATAAGGAAATGGAAGAAAAGGCGAAGGTCAAGATTGAAGGAGGTAATGGGAGCCTCTAGTAGACCCGTGAATCCAAAAGCGAGTGAGATCTGATGGAGGGTTTTTCGATGGCGATGAATCATCTTTTTACGATACTTGGGGGCACTTTCTATGGGCGGGCACTTGTATGATAAATGATAGGTGAAAAAGGAAAAAAAAAAGTTTTTTCATGTGTACCTCCAGGAGGACGGCTCATTCGTATTCATAAAGTAATCGACCAATGTTTAAACGCCCAATTCTCTAAGTTATCGAAAGAGAGTCAATTCGTAACGTGACTCGACATAATTAAAGAATTCCGTATCCTGACGAGATGTCTAAATCCTCCAAGTGATCCTAGCAGCCCCTCATAGCCATCGCATGCAATCTGTGAAACTAGGATTAGCCTGCGCAAGTAGCGTTAGCAGAGAACACACACAAACAAGATAAAGTTCAAGAAGTGCGAAGCAAAGCGCCGTCAGAAGTCCGTTGCTATCATCGACTGGCCGAAACTAGGCTCGATAAAGAGGTACCAGAAAAAGTAATACGTGTTGGATCATCATTCAGATCGCATGGGGGGATGAGGAAGAAATATCACAAAGGGTTTGATACTTACGTGTGGTATAAGTAGTATAAACCCCACCGATTTTCCCGTAGGTTAGGTGCGATGTGCATAGAAGTCGTTGATATTAGAAGATGACGAACGTTTTGGATTTGGAAGAGAGGGGGAAGACGCGTTATTTTCACTCGAGGTACGGTACCAACAAAAGCCGTCAACCCACCAAGTGACCCGCGAATCTCTTGGCATAGGGCACAACCCTCATCTAACCTTGACACTTCCCACAATCTATTCAACGTAAATTTACCGGTAAGCGAAATTCTAACCTCAGGAGCTTTCCCCCCATAACCAACCAACAGACCAGCAAACCGCCCAACGCCGACTAACCGCTAAATCGACAAGCAAATACAGCAAAAAAAAAATGGGTCGTCTTCATTCCAATGGAAAGGGTATATCCGCGAGCGCTATCCCATACTCTCGCACCCGCCCAACCTGGCTCAAGACCACCGCCGAGCAAGTCGAGGACATGATCTGCAAGCGGGCTAAGAAGGGTGATAAACCTTCCGAGATTGGCGTCTACCTCAGGGACCAGCACGGGATTGCGCAGGTTAAGGTTGTTACTGGTATGTTTATTTCAGTGTTCGAAGGATGGGGGGTGAATGAAGAAATTGTAGGATGGGGATGCTGATGATAGTATTTTATATAGGTAACAAGATCCTCCGTATCTTGAAGGCGCACGGTATGTTCCTTATGTGAAGTCAAACCCTCCACTCGCGGAAGGCCAATCCATCGGTCAATTCTGTAATCCCCCTACGGGTTGGATACGAATGAGAGAAAATGAGAAAGAAGATAAAAAGGCAAAGCCTCTGCTTGGTTCATGGGCTGACAGAGAGAGAAGGCCTCGCACCAGAGATTCCGGAAGATCTCTATTGGCTTATCAAAAAGGTTCTTTTGCCTCCTCCCTCCCTTCCCCCCTTCTCTTCCTTGGCGATTCTAAAACCAAAACCAGGCTGTCTCCGTGAGAAAGCACCTTGAGCGCAACCGAAAGGACAAGGACAGCAAGTTCCGCCTTATTCTCATCGAGTCTAGGATTCACCGCTTGTCTCGTTACTACAAGACTGTTGGTGCTTTGCCTCCTACCTGGAAATAGTGCGTTTCCCTTTCTTCTGGATTCCTCCTCACCCTGTTGCCGGGAATTCGAGTGCTAACGAGGGTTCTCTCTCCAGTGAATCTGCTACCGCCTCCACATTAGTCGCTTAATTTCGTAATAATGCTGATGTGGTCCAAATTGAATTAAAAAGGTTTCATCATAGTATATATTCCGCTGCGGTTTTTGATGGGGCTCCCTCGGGTTGTGAAATTGTTTGTGAAATTGATATGGGCGATAAACCTTTCATTTCATCCTGGACCAATCTTGCTTGTGACGTGACATGATTCAATTTCTCTCTTGTGTAACAAGGTCTATTTAGCCCACAAGGCAGTCTGCTCAAGACAGCATCCCTACAGCAACTCTTAAAAGCTCTGATACCCCATAACAAACACCAAATAGCACAGCCACCCCTATATTTCGCAAAAAGAGCCCGAGTTCAGTTAAACATGTCTATCGAGTGACATTGTATCAACACTCTAGAAACAACCGAGTTACTGTAAGTTACTGCGCGGAAATAATAGCAAATGCTCCAGCCGTCCACCATTTCAAAGTATAAATGTCCACGCAGTGGTAGACAGAGAAGAAGAGAAAACACTAGCAATAGGAACATAACGGCCATTTTTGCAAAAATGAGAAACACTATGCGGGAGTAAGTGGTAAAAAGGTGGAGAAAGCAAGCAATATAATAAGTCTATCTCCTCTTCAAAGCATTCCTCTTCCGAACCTTATCCATTGTTCTCTCCAGCCCGGTCCTAACGGGACCCTCGCGAAAGTCCTTGACATCATAGTAGCCCGGCGCAATCTCCAGCAGCCACTCAGGGCGAATGTGGGTGACCGTGCGGATAAAGCTCTTTGTCGTGAGGACGAACTCGTTGTAGACGAGCCATGGGGAATCTTTTTCCAAGGCTGTACTGGGGTGGATTAGGACGTCCTGTATTCGCTGTAGATCAGCGTTTGTGTCTAGGAGGAATTGCGGAAATGTGGAGGGAGGAAATGGGGGTCTACCTGGTTGTCTTTAACGGTGATGTACGCCTTCCCAGGGGAGTTTTTCATGGCGACTTGCATGAAGAAGCCAGAAACAAGGGCTCTGCGGATGTTCTCGTAATAGGACTTCTCGGAAAAGTCCGTGCTGACAAGCGGGATCTCTAGTCTTTCCATTATGCGCTGTAGTTGAGCGCGCACGTTATCTGCGCTCTGTAGGGCTCTATAGCTGAGGAAGTGCTCGCGGCACCAGGCTGGTTGGCTATCCTGCTGCTTGAAGGCGTGATAGACATTTAGCATTGTGAGGTGGTCGCCGTCCTCGTGCGCGAATAGTTTTTTCATCTCGTCGGCGCGCTGGCGATTATTTAAGGGACGGACGAAGAGCTGTGGGACTGATAGGAGGGCGGTCAGGGAGAGTATCTCGTTCGAACAGAAGAACTCCGGGGAACTGATGAGCATTACAGCTAGAGCGGGGTCTAGGGGGAACTCTGCTGCGAGTTTACCGAGGGTGGTGAGGTTTCCGTCATCGTCGAGACAGGCGAGGTAGTTCAGTTCTTCCAAGGCTCTCATCATAGTTTCTGGGGCAGGAGGATCCATGAAGTCGAAGTGGACTAGGTCGTCGATGCCGAGCTTCTTCAACTCCAATACGGTATTTGCGAGATTGCTGCGCAGGATTTCGGGGTATGTTTGATCAATGAGTTCCTTCTTGAATGCGGACTCGGTGTAAAGTCTGAAACATTTACCAGGTCGAGTTCTACCAGCACGACCAGCGCGTTGCTGCGCAGAAGCCTTGGAAATAGGTGAAACAAGTAAGGACTCAACGCGGATACGCGGGTTGTAGACCTTCTGCTTGCTAAATCCTGGGTCCACCACGTACACTATTCCGTCTATTGTCAATGAGGTCTCGGCGATATTTGTGGATACAACAACCTTGCGTCCAGGCGGTCCACCTGGCTTGAATGGAGACGGGGCAGGTTCAAAAATCCTTTGCTGCTGTTGGGGGGGGAGAGTGCCGTAAAGAGCATAAGATTTTAGAGGCCCAACGTCTGCCTCTCTTACGAGCAAGTCAACCTCTGCATTGATCTTCCGACAAGCATCCTCGATCTCCTCTTCACCTGTGAGGAACAGAAGAATATCACCTTCCGGTTCAGTCGTGTGGATCTGGAGCACGGTACGTATGGCAGCTTCCAGGTAGTCCCGCTCAGGTTCCGGAGTGTAATAAATTTCGACAGGGTGAGTGCGACCAGGAACTGCCAACAATGGAGCGTCATTGAAATAATGTTGAAACTTCTGGGCGTCGAGAGTAGCAGACATGATAATGAGCTTTAAATCCGGGCGCCTTTCTACCACATTCTTAAGTAGTCCCATAAGAATATCTGTTGCTAGAGTTCTCTCGTGTGCTTCGTCGAGAATAATGCAGGAGTAGCGTTCAAGTAGGTGGTCGTGCATGGCTTCCCGAAGTAACATACCGTCTGTCATGTACTTGAGGATAGTGTTTGGGCTGGTTTTATCCTCAAAACGAATACTATAGCCAACCTCGTGGCCTAACTCGACATCCATCTCATCGGCCACACGTTTTGCCACAGACATGGCAGCTACTCGGCGGGGTTGGGTACATGCTACCTGCTTATAACCATTTAAGTGAGGAAGATCGTCGAATAGAACATACTGGGGGATTTGGGTGGTCTTTCCCGAACCAGTCTCTCCGACTAAAACCATGGTCTGGGACTTGTGAAACATGTTCAAAAATTCATCCCTGTACGATGGAAGTAATTTGGTTAATACAAGTAATCTCCAAAGCAAAAAAATAAACAGGGGTCAGCTTACCTCTGTGCGGCAATAGGTAGTTCTCTTCTTCCCTCCAAAATGTTGAAGTAACGGTCGCTCAATTTATTCCCGCTAAACGGATTAAAAGGGCCATCCTCGGCAATGTTCGCCATCTTCGTTGTCGTGCGGTGTCGCTTGAATCCGGCCAAGGGCCCCCAATCGCTCTTGTTCTCTTCCGCGGGGTACGTATGAGCGAGATAGGGATTTTTTGATGGGTCTATCTCAGGCTTTTTTGTGTTCCCAGAGGGAGGAGAGACAGGTTCGCTTTTGTGCCGCTTGGGCGAATTGGTCTGCGATTCCTTTTCTTGGGGCTTCTTGCGTTTTCTATCTTCAGTTGTCGACATTGTCTGGTGAGGAGGCGGGAGGCAAGTGTACCTTTGTGCCGATTTGTGGAGAGAAGGGGGGCCTGAGGACAAAGGTGAAGGGGAGTGAGAGGAATACAAGACTATGGAGCGACTATCCGGATGCGTTTGTGGGGTTGGAGGGAGTTCTTGTTGTAGTTGTAATTGTTTGTGAGGAGTTCTAAGCCTAAGGCATCTCGTGGGAGAAAAGAAAGGCGGTGAAGGTGATATCTGAAATTCTGTAACCACGTGACGTCTCCTTGCAAGTTCTTGGCGCTAGGTATCGGGAAACTTTGGGATAGGGGCGAAATGGGGAAGGTTAATTTAAATTAGTCCCGGAGCCGTTTTCCTTGCCCCGGAACATCCACGCTCAAGTTAACGATAGCTCACAGCCCCTAAAGTCGCCGTCATTGCTTAAAGAAATAAACACGATATCCGATGGCCGAATCACCTCCTCAGTCTCCAGGCTCAACAGCAGAAGAAATGCGTGAACCTACCCCCGATGCACCTGCCGCGGGAACCAATCCCGATTCCGCCGTGGCAAACACCACCGCCGGAGGAGACTCGGCAGCAGCCCCAACGGCTCTAACGAAGCCAAAGAAAAGCACCAAAAAGAAACGCCGTCCAGCCCGTCCGCAAGTTGACCCGTCAACCTTCAAAGGCGGCGAAATCCCTGCTCAAACGGGTACGGTGTTCAATATTTGGTACAACAAATGGTCTGGCGGCGATCGCGAGGACAAGTACATATCCAAGAGCCACGCTGAGGGCCGCTGCAACATTGCTCGCGACTCAGGATACACAAAGGCCGATAAAGTCCCTGGAAGCTACTTTTGTCTATTCTTCGCGAGGGGATTGTGCCCTAGGGGTGCCGATTGTGAGTACCTTCATCGATTGCCGACGGTTACGGATCTTTTCAACCCAAACGTGGACTGCTTTGGTCGGGACAAGCATTCCGATTACAGGGATGACATGGGTGGTGTAGGAAGCTTCATGAGACAGAATCATACCCTTTACGTTGGTAGGATTCACGTCAGTGATGAGATAGAGGAGATTGTCGCAAGGCATTTCGCAGAATGGGGGCAAATCGAGAGGAGTACAATCCCCATACTATCACATGCTTTTTTCTCTCCTTCTAATATCATTTATCTCATGGGACACTATTGCTGACTAAATTTCTAGTTCGAGTGCTCAATTCTCGTGGTGTTGGATTCGTCACATACTCCAACGAAGCAAACGCTCAATTCGCGAAAGAAGCAATGGCACATCAGTCTTTGGACCATAATGAGATCCTGAACGTTCGCTGGGCCACAACAGATCCCAACCCTATGGCGCAAGCACGTGAGAAGCGACGCATAGAAGAACAGGCTGCTGCTGCTATTCGGCAGGCTCTCCCCGAGGAGTTCGTTGCTGAGTTGGAGGGGAAGAATAAGGATGCTTCGAAAAAGAGAAGGATCGAAGGTAGTTTTGGGCTGAAGGGATATGAGGTTCCGGAAGAAATATGGTATGCTAGAGGGCCCAATGCTGTTAACCCAGCTGGACGAGGGGTGGAAGGACAAGTCGATGGGCTGATGATAGAGCGGGCGGTCGGGAGTAATGGTGTCGGTGATGAGGTAGCAGACAGACAAACAAAGGAGCAAGTGGGCATATTTTCCAGTCAAACTTTGGAGGCGTTACGAGGCTTAAATAGGGGATCGAATGGGCCGCCAAGGGTCACAATGAAGGGATCAAATGTTTCTGCAGGATTGGCTCTAGCTGCTGACTATGGCAGCGATAGTGATTAGAGATTAGAGAGTATGTGGAGATTATCGCTTGGTAGCCCTTTGCTGTATCATACAACACCCTGTTTTTTTTTTCATTTTTTCGATTTCATTAGTTAGGGTCTCTCGGCTGGCGCAATCTAATAACTTGACGAAAAGTTGCGTTTCGAATTTCAAGCATGTGAAGTCTAGTTTACAATACGAAGTTTGGGGGGAAGGGACTGGAATCTATATGCAATGGGCTATTTTATGAAGTAACATTTCCAACTTTTGATATCATGACAACATTGAGAGCATCTATTTCAACTCCTCGGCCATCTTGCATGGTATATCCTATCTAAATCAGACCCTTAACTACAGCAGCCTCGGCATTGAGGATAGAAGAACCGGCGGCTCCAATGACAGTATTATGTGAAAGGGTCACAAATTTGATATCAAAAATATTGTCCGGCCTTATCCTGCCCACACTAACAGCATAACCACCATCGGTGTTTCTATCGAGCCTTGGTTGAGGCCGGTCCTCCTCCTCCATAACCACAATAGCGTTCCTGGGAGCGCTAGGGCAACCCAATTGTTGGGGCTCAGAGACATAGTCCCTTAACGCAGCCTTAACCTGTTCAATGGATGGTGGGGGCCTCTTGGCGAATCGAAGAGAAACACAAGCAGTGTGACCGTCCATGACAGCCACCCGATTACATTGCGCTGACACCTTGATAGTAGAAAGCATATCGAATCCAGAAGAGGTGGGGTTGACTGAGCCAAGAATCTTGCCAGTCTCCCATTCGATCTTCTCCTCCTCACCCCCAATGAGGGGGACGGTGTTATCAAGAATGTCCATTGATGGGACACCAGGATAACCTCCACCAGAGATAGCCTGCAAAGTTGTAACAGTAACAAACTCAATACCGCCAAAAGCATCCTGCAAGGCTTTGAGTGGTACAACAAGGCCGGTAGTGGAACAATTGGCATTGGTAACCAAAAAGCCCTTCTTCAGGTAATTCTGGCTTCTCTGATGTGGGATGATGGAGAAGTGAGATGTATTGACGAGGGGGACGATGAGGGGGGTGATAGGGTCCCTTCGATAGTTTTTGGAGTTGGAAAAGACGACGAGATCATTTTTGATAAACTCCATTTCTGCGAGACACGGTAAGCTAGTTAGCTTAGGGATGTCAAACGTGCAGATATGGAATTGAATTCTTTTGTATAGTTGCTGGGAGGTGATAGACGGGGTGCGGTGGTGGGTTCAAGCCAAACATACCAATTTCTCCCGCAACCTCAGCATCAAGGCCAGAAAAGACAACGTCACAGTCCCGGAATTCAGCAGCTTTACAGTCCTTAACAATCATGTCCCGGACACGATTTGGCATGAGTTGGTCCTGCTTCCATTTTGTTGCTTCGGAATACTTTTTGCCAGCTGAGCGACTTGAAGCCCCTACAGCATGAAGGGCCAAGTACGGGTGCTGGGAGAGTAGGAGAATAAATCTTTGGCCAACCGAACCAGTGCATCCCAAAACACCTGGACGAAGGTAAGATATGAGTAAAAACTTCAATGGGTAACTAAAAAATCCTAAGGAGTAAAGTTGAGAATCATACCGGCTTTTTTTGCAGGAACGGACGAAGACATGGTTTTTTTCCTTCACTTTTTCTCTTCAATTCGATTCAGGTGAGGCGAAAAATAGGAAGAAGACTAGAACGCCCGCAAGGTAGCTTGAAGGGATGGTTTGTGAAATCGAGAGAATCGAGTATATATATATAACACAAAGGATTTCCTGTGGCTAAATGAAGCTGTTATTAGGTGCGGGGGAAGATTTGCTGTGGGCAGAGAGAATTGCCAGTGGCCAGGCCTCAGGACTAATACACGCGGGGCACTAAAGCCGCATGTCTTGTACAGTACTGTACTCGAGTACTGTACACGTGCTGTACTTGTACCAGCGGCAATACCGGTATTATGCATGATACAAATACGAGTAATAAATGTTATTACTGTACAGAGTACTATCATTCTTCGCATCAAATATGTTACCGTACCCGTGCAGTGCTGCACCGTAACTCGTACTGGTAGAAATATTATACTTACTCGAGTACTGTATACCCGTGCTGCCGGCAGTTCTCCAACGCAAATACGAGTACATGGTACGGGCACTCGAGTAAGTTAAAATCCTTTGTTTTCTTCTTGGCGAGGTTATGCTCCGTGCATTGAGTGTCCGGGGCTTGGCAGATCACGTACCCGCAGGGTTATCACTGCAGCTGGAGAAAACGCGTTCTCCTCGCTTTGCCCTTGTACAGTATTTCACGAAAAATTCTACTATTTAGGAACAACAACAACAACCTCCCTACGTTTTTCTCCCTCAATCCTTGGAGGGAAGAACAGTCACTCTCGTCTAGATACGCTGCTCTCGGACTTGTCTCGTTCTCCTTACTCTATCATACCTCTCCAACCACCGTCGTTCTCATTCCTTTGACCTACAAGTCGAGCCCCCTACCATCCTCCCCCCGCGATCTACTCCGTTCTCATACCTCCTTTACGGGATGGACAAACCCTTCTTTCCCTACCCCATCGTCTAAAACAATTTTACAGTCGCTACCTGAAGAACCCCTGCTTAAGCTCCCCCCCTCACAATGACCGAATCTATCGACACCCACCCCCCCGACGTCTGGGTTGCTGTGCCTTTCGAACTTAGCGGCAAGATTCCTGTTACTTCTCTGGACCAAGGAACTGGGACACGCGGCAAAATTGGTAAGACATATCTTCAACACTTGCCATTTCATTGAGCTCCTTCTAACACATTTTTTTCTCAAAGAAAACTTCATTCAACTGCCAATGGAGGAGACAAGGAAACGAGCAACCCCCAATCCTCCTCGTCCGGACCAATGCGCAAGTTTTATCGAAGACGGTGCCTACGAAGACGCCAAGGATCCCCACTCAAGCAATGCTTTTGAGAAATATGACCCTGTGCATGATTGGTACCAACCGGAAATTGAACTGGCTCTAAAAAATAGCGCAAGGAGGAGGGTCGATGACGAGTCAAATGCCAGCAACCTTGGGCCGACCATCTCCAATGATCCGGAAGTTGTGCCAGATAAAAAGGAGAGAGAAGAACTCTATCTGGCTTCGCGCCTCAGTAATCAGAGGAGACCTTATATGTCTAAGCGTGCTCGGGACTTTATTAGACATATGGGAAATTGGGATGGTTTTTCTGGATATGGTATCTACACACCTGAGTAATATAGTTTACGGGTCTTATATTAACTGTTACATAGATGGTCGAATTATTCATGTTAGCTTCACTTCAAGTGAAGTCGATATTGTCTTTAAAGCTCTCTCCGAGGAGTTCTCTGAAGACCCTTTGTCATTCATTCTTGGAGACCTCTCCGCAGTTTCAGCAAGTACCTGGTTTGGTGTTTTGAATGCCAAACTTAAGGGCCCCGAAGCCGAGAAGTTTGTAAAGTTCTTGGAAGCTAAAGTTATTCCTAAAATAATTATTAAGGGAAGAACTGCAAAGGAGCTACTGTTATTCTTTCAAGACTGTATCTACCCTGAGCCTGATGATAGTTACATCGGTCTCAGCACGAAGTCTGCACGAGAAGCTGCTAAGCGTATTTCGTCGTCAGCACCATTGAGAAGACTTAGGCAGGAGCTGGGGTATGGTGTAAGAGCCGGGAGGTGGAATCTTGATTCCACTATTAGGAAGGCAAAAGCCGCTTGTATGGAATATTTGCAACCACAAGCATCCTTCACTGGTGGAAGTTCAGATATCATAGATATCCGCTGGTCGCCCAATGGAAGACGGTTTGCCCTAAGCTCTGCGACACTAAATGATATCTACAACCGACCCGGGAATCTTATGCTCGGTACTGTAGAAAAAATGGAGGTAAAGCTACTTGACGGACATAAAACTCCGAGGCCTATCGAGCAGCGCAATCCTACTTTAGACAACCAAATGAGATCAACTGTTACAGGTGTAGCCTTCTCAAATGATGGCTCTCTTCTCTACTCAAGTGGTTACGATGCGACTATCAAAATCTGGGATACCGAAGATGGCTTTCTCTTCGATTCGGTCGATCTTAATGGTCCGGTTGTTAAAATGTCTCTTTCTAAACCCCACAACGTTATCGCTGGCAGCACTGATAATGGATGGTTGGAATTATTCCGTACTGATATAAATGGAGATACACACATTGCCAAATTTCAGGAAAACGAGCAGCTTTATGCATCAACTTTGATCTGGGCTGATAGGATAAACCCAAATTGGCTTTTAGCTGCTTATGACACTAGGGCTGAAAATCGACCTGGTAAAGGATTATGCGCTGTTTATGATGCCTCTACTAAGAAAAAGCTCAGTACGATCCGTCCTTCTGCTGGCCGCCATTTTGACATGTTTCTGCACCAAGAAGCAGGCATTCTTGTCACTGGTGTTTCGAGTTCCGCGACTTCTCTTATACGCATGTACGATATAACCTTATCGTCGCAAAGCGGCCGTGGTCCTCAATCCAATCTAACTGGTATGGCGAATTGTCCACAGAGGGACATTAATGTGGTTACCATGTCGTAAGTTCTTCTCTTCCGGGATTCTTCTACCCATTCTGATTGGCTATTATTAGTCCATGCGCACGTTTTATCACTTCTAGTGGCACAGATAACTCAACCGTAGTATGGGACTCAAGAAACTTGGTCGAGCCTCTTACTCAACTCTGGCATGGAGGTTTGTTCAATTTTAACAGATTTAAGAATACCTTCTAACGTATATTTCCAGATACCTTAATGCCAGTAACACCTGATACTAATCTCGAAGCGGAAGATACGGGAACTACCTTTGCGCAATGGTGTCCCCATGACGGATACTTGTATACCGGAGGGAGTGATGGTGTGGTGAAAGTTTGGGACGTTACGGGCGCCAACCCTTTAGTCCGTAATCTCCCGGCCTTAGACGCTCAAATAATGTCTGGTGAGTTTTCACCAGAGTTTGACAAGCTCTTCATTGGATCGGCTTCTGGGAAGGCTACTCTCTTCTCTATGGACGCCCGCCAGGGTGAAGCACTTGCCGAATTCTCTGTCGACATGTCTGGAATTATACCGGATATAGATCCCGACGATGGGAGTGTTTCGCAGCATGTTGATGATGACGGTGATCAAAACATGGATTGGCACGATTTGGAAGGCGATGATGGTGATTATTACGGGGACCAAGATATGGACGAGTACCAAGGCATGGATAGGGACATTCCTAATGATCATCAATCCAATAGTAGCTCCCATTTCGACGAAATGGATGAACATTAATACGATCCGGCAGCAAAGGATAATGTTTCCCTTCTTTAGACTCTTACATGTATCTATATCCTTGTGGCGTTTTCTGGAGAGTACTGGTGTTTTATTAGCTGGGTTGTTTCCACACAAAATTTCTCTTAATTGACCCCTTTTTCTCCCTGAACTCCCTGGTAAGCTGTCAGGGAGCTCATACCTTGTTGCTTGCACCCCATGCCGAAGATCGGTTTTCATACGTCCTTTCTATGTGCCATGGTAGCTGTTACGAAATGATATGATACCGTTCCCTGAATCCGAGACCTGGATGCGCGTCTTTGCGTTTACCTGTCTTACAACGTGACATTTCCCCATAACTATTAGCCTAACATCTAATTTTATTTTTAGTTCCTAGCCTTGTGGGGGATTGATCGGTTGACCGATAGGAAGCTGTGGAATTTCGATTTGTGGGCTCAGTTCGTGCACTTGCGCAATTTAGCTTACTCTGTAGCACTCTAACGACAAGGAAGGAATACTACTGGCTGGAGTTGACTTTTTTCTGTGAGGATTTATATCTCATATCTACGCGCACTTATTGTTTGAATTTGTGTGAACTACGGTTTGGTTTGGATAAATTCTCGGACTCTAGGAAGGGCCTTCTGGCAGAGCCCTGCTTTTGGCTCCGATAAGTAAGAGGGGGAGGGGGGGGGGTGTAGGTAGCTCAAGTAGGTTGTAGATTGGTATCATCCACTGTTTATTAGCAGCAAGGTGGTCAATATATCGTATTGTTACTGGGAGGCGACTCGACGGGAGACAAAGTTGATACTAGTACCATAAGTTACATGAAGACTTAGATACTATACCATTCACTCTTTAGGGACTAGAGCAATGCGGGCAAGCGCAGATAGTGCCCGTACCTTAAGTACACAGCCCTTGGTCGAAAAAGCCTGAACAAGTTTGACTCGACAGTTGACAACGTTTCGCCCTCTGATAATCATTTTTTCCGACAAAAAGGAGAAAGAAAGAAGCACTAGCACAGTCTCTGTTCTTTGAGTGCGAGCATTTAAACTCTTATGCGCATGTACAAGGGAGGAGTTATATATGTACCAGTGCTCTAGACAGCATTAACAGTACCGAATTCGCTCACATCTGATAAATAACAGTTAGCGGTAGACTATTGGTCTCAAGCTGAAGGGATTACAAGGTGGATTAGTTTGGCAAAGCAGAGTATCCTGAGAGCCTGAAAAGTATGCAGCAGTAAAGTCGACTAGCTTTACTACCTTCATTTTCTCCAGTTGATAGCCCCGACCTTGACAGCTTGGGTCAGTGCTTCTGAAATTTCCCAGAGTGCATGAATTCATGCTGTCTGGAGCGATGCATTACTACTAGAGTATTGGTACCGTTGCTACTGCTAGGTACCGGTAGGCAGTATTTAAAACATATAGGGAGGCTCGGCGTCGTCGACCACACGGGGGTAATGAGATACAATAATAAAGTATCCGATTGGCAGCACTGTTTGTGCCATGGCACTGATATAAGATTAATCCTCACATGGAACTATTATGTTTATTTATACTCTTCTAGAACACATCAGGACAAGCCCCGAGTAGACTATAAGTTGCCGTTCCACCGAAACCTCTCTTGAGTGGCATTTCTGCTTGAACTATTTCTTGTCTGTAAGTTGGAGTGGAATAAGGGAACAAACGTTGAGGTGTATACTCGTACAAGGGATATAGGGAGGATAACGGTTGTTAGTGATACTTCAAAACACGCATGGAAGAAAATTTGCGTCCTATGCTAAAACCAATTAGGGGAAAAAAGGTTTGGATATCATAGCTAGGACTATATATATATATATATATATATTTTTTTGACAGCCGTGAGAGTGATCACGCACTCTCACTCGGACCCGCTTAACGGCACAGTAATACCCGTGATGAATCGATAGTAAAAATCAGGGCTTAGTAATGGCTATTCGCGACCACTTATTCCTACCATCTACCTGTGTGCGAAACTACTGACAAATGCTAGGAAGGAGGGAAGATGGACTGGTATTTATTTGTCAACATAGCAGAACTCAGGAAAGCCCATAGGGGGTCGTTCAAGTGGCCACCGTGCCCATCATATTGATTCGAGACGGGAATTGGAGAGGTCAACGAAGTATCTGAAAGCGTGCGGAGACGCTCAAACTAATACCCCCACCAGAGAACGTAAACACGATTTTTGCTAGATGATTCTGGATTACCTGTGGATTGGGGTAGCACCTGGGTTGGGCAGGCGGACAATCTGGTGGTGTTTCCGCGAGGAGGGGAGAAGCGGCAGGAGGAAGCGTGCGTGGGAACTGAGTTAGTTCTTGAGCAGTGAGTGATGGTAGATACGCTAGGAAGAGTTAGATTATTAGCAGATTTCCTAATCTCATACTCAATCTCCTCTTCACTTCTGGCCCGCTCTTAACTTGTTGTGCAAACCTATGGCTTATAGGGCCGTCCCAGCGTCATACTGGGGGGTCTGGTTTGGCGGAGTTTGCGTGAAGGAATGAGAATTGCCGTGTGGGTTGAGGTGTCTTAATCTCGATGGTTTTAGCTGGCGTGGGGTATGGGGTATGGGGTTCTTGAGCATCTAGCTTCGTGAGAGGATTATTGATCGTTTAAGTGTGTTGCGAAGTATAAAACACTTGCGTACAGATTAACTGTTTGTGGGTTAGCTGGCCTGGAACATTGCCTCAAATGGTCTCTTAGATGGGGAGTCTGGTGCCGGTAGTGGGGAAGAAATTTAAATTGAATGCATTGATTTAGATCTCCGGAGTCCTTTGAAATTGACTCTGAGGTCCTAGGGAGAAGCTCGAGTACTGTATCCTGTCACTATTAGAAGGTCAAGAGAAAGGAAAGAAGGGGAACGTGTGAGTTATGCGGTAGTATGCTAAAATTGCTATAATACATGATATTATTTCCATATACCTCCCTTATCGCGCTTCCGTCCTCCGCCTTTTCTCACCATCGCCATCTCTCCGTTGCCCTGGAGGGGAGTATGGTCTCTTGCGATCTATGTCTGTGTCTCCGTCTCCGTTTCTGCCCCTGCCCTTCTCCCTGCCCCTCTCCCTGCCCCTGTCGTGATCCCGATCGTGTCGCTCCTCACTCCATTCCCTATTATATCTACCGTGATCCCGACGGTCCCTATCGTAAGGGGATCTGGAGCGGTCCCGGTGTGAACCCCCAGCACCCGGAACAAAACGATCTTGATATCTGCCCCCCCCACTATCACTCCCACGAGAACCCCGCGGGCCTCCGGGAGGCCTTCTATCACGGGGATCTCGGTCTCGGTCGTCTCTTCCTTTGGGTGCACGTTCACGGTAGTCACCATTGCCACTTCGGTCTTTCCTGTCGTCTGGTTGAAATCTCTCATCGTCCTGCATCCCGCCGAGTTTCCCGGAAGCCCGCTTGTTGATACCATTCTTGTCGAACCAAGGACTTCCTCCGTTTTGCATGCTCGTGTCCTCTGCCGTTAGGTGTGTCCATCTAGTCCTTCCACGTTTCCCAACCTCGTCGCCTCGAACTTGCATGTATTTTGGCAACACATCCCGATTCTTGACTTCGTCCTCCACAGCAGTAGTTGCGTAGTCCTTTTTTAAGATCTCCGAATCGTCCTGATAAAATGCACCTTTGTGATAATATTTCTGCATAAAACCCATTTTGCCCCTATTCTCCATTTTTTCTTCGCGCTGCTTCTTGACGTACTCCATGTCCTCCTTTTTTCGCAATTCGGGATCCATTGCTCTTCGACGTTCGATCTCTTCCCGCTCCTTTTCTATCTTCTCTAGCTCTTCCCGTTCCCGCTTGACGCGAACTAGTTCCCTTAGCTTCCAGGCGGCACGTTCGGCGGTTGGATCGAGGTCGTCTGTGTCATCTAGGCCCTCCCCATCATCTTCATCGTCGTCCCACCCCTTTCTTCCAGCAGCTTTGGCTGCTGCATCGCGACGGATGTGTTCTTCAAGAAGCGCCGCCGCCTCAGCTTTCTTCCGGGCTTCCTCTTCAGCTTTCTTCTTTGCCTCTACCTCCGGGTCTAGAGCGGGGGAGGCGACAACGCCGCGCTTCCCCTTCGGAATAAATGTAGGCCTTAAAAGAACTCTTTTCGGAACTTCCTCTTCCTCTTCCTCAGATTCTTCTTCCTCAGATTCCTCTTCCTCGTCCTCGTCAGCTGTTGAATATTCGCTGCTCTCTTCCTCGGCGCGCTTCCTAGCCTCTTCAGCTGCTCGTTGTTCTTCTTCTTTGCGGCCTTCTTCGAATCGCTTGCTAAGGTCAACCTTTCGGAGAGCGGTAGAGACCTTTGCGGGAGCTTCGGCGGCGGCTTTCTTGCTGGGTTGTCGAGGATCTTCTTCGGACCCTTCAGCTTCAGAGTCTTCTGATTCTTCGGAATCCGATTCTTCTGACGCAATTGGTTTACCTGGCCGGTAACGCAGGGGCTTTGCGGGATTTGCGGTCATGCGTTTTGGAGGCATGGTGGGCGATTGTGGTAGAATTGGTGAGTTAGAGAGGATGTGAGTTTCGTCAAAGACTTGGCTGTCCGCAATTATTTTGTCACTTGTTACCCGACCGACAACCTCGCGCATGCCAAGACAAACATTATTTCCCCGAGACAATTTCTTTTTCTCAAATATTTCGAACCATAAAAAATCATTTTTCACTCCACCACAGTCTACAATGACTTCGGCGGAAGATTCGCCAATGGGTGGAACTGACCCCCAATCTACACATCAGATTCAAGTTAAATTCACAACTAGACATCCTGAAATCGCTGTACCGACTGCGCCGATTCTCGTCCCTGCAAATCTAAAACGCTATGGGCTGTCGCAGATTATCAATCATTTACTTGATACCTCTACCGCCACGCCGTTTGAATTCTTGATTAATGGCAGCTTTCTGAGAACCTCCATTGAGAAATATCTTTCCGACAATGGTCTTTCATCAGAATCAGTTCTCACCCTCGAGTACGTCCGCGCTATCCTCCCACCAAAGTTCCAAGCAGCCTTCCAGCACGATGATTGGGTTTCTTCGGTTTCTGTCGAGGGGGAGAACAGACGAATATTATCCGGCTCGTATGACGGGATTGTGAGAGTCTGGAATGAGAGCGCGCAGTGTCTGTACACTGGTGTCGGCCACACCGACGCTGTCAAGACTACGAAATGGATGTCTGCTACGAAAATAGTTTCCGCCGGTATGGACCGGGGACTTAGGATATGGGAGGTTGATGGGGAATACATTGGGGAGATATCTGAGGTTTCTGCTTTGGCAGAGTTTGTGGGTCATAGAAGTACGGTGGAAAAAATTAGCGTGGATTCTAGCTCTGGCAGAGTACTGTCTGCCGGAATGGATTCGCTGGTTGGGCTTTGGACAACAAATATATCCGAGGCCCCTAAAGCGCCAAAGGAAGCTCCGGTGCCGAAGGCAAAAAGGAGAAAGGAATCCTCAGCAGGCCCACCCCGCTATGGATCTTTACGGATGTTAGAAGGTCACACATCCCCGGTCTCGGGCGTCGCTTTTGACCCTAAAGATTCGACAGTCGGATATTCCGTCTCCTGGGACCACACCATCCGCACTTGGGATCTTGCCACGTGCTCTCTGGCCGATTCAAGGACGACGCAACACCCGTTATTATCAGTCTGTGTGCTGCCCACCCTATCCTTACTTGCTTGTGGAAGCTCTGCTCGTCACATCACCCTACACGACCCAAGAGTTTCTGCTTCAACAGTTACTACCAGCACCTTACGTGGGCATACGAATGCTGTTGTCGCATTGAGCCCCAACAAGAATAGTGAATGGCAGATGGTTTCCGCAAGCCATGATGGAACACTGAGGATTTGGGATGTTCGAGCAACTGAGAGTGGGAGCATATGGACAATAAAGAGGGAAGGGGAAGGACTTAGTGGGAAGGAAAAGGTTTTTGATGTTGAATGGAGCAGTTTGGGTATTGTTAGTGGTGGAGAGGATAAGAGGGTTCAAATTGATGAGTCGCCTAAAGGCGAATAGGCAATCGGAATTTGTGAATGCAGAGATTGTATAACCATAGATCCTCTGCTCTATTTAAAGGATGAAGTTAGTAGTTATAATAAATTAACTTCTAATAGCCTACGCCTTTGCATTTTTCCCGTGCCAAGTAGGTTTTATTGCGGCTCGGGAAGGTAGACTTCTGTAGACTATATGCCGGGAATAAATGTAAATTTATGGGGCCTACATGTATGCAGAGAGGTTGAAAGTGTGAGCAAAAAGACGTGAGCAACCAATCCCCTTTTTAAATAATAGTTTACATGGTAGTGCCATACTGTCTCAACTCCATATACCCCATTAGAGGAATTTCCCACCTGCAGGGTCTTGAGGGGGTATCTTGGATCTCGACTTGGTAGAAGTTTTGCCTCATAATGTGTCTCGCTTCTCAATACACCAGGAACTGCCAGCGTCATAGTCGCTCACTCAGGGTAATCCCAGGCTCGAGAAACGAAGGACCACGATGGTGGCCGGAAAAAAGAGCTTCCCGGTGAAGAGAATATGGACAGCTGTGCTGATCAATGCGCCCGGGAAGCTATGCGATGCGGACCTGGTAATAAAATGTACTCGTACTGTAACTGCTGAGGGGTTGAGCCAATGGCTCTCGAATCTTGACAGAGCAATTCTATCGTATAATAGGATGGACACTTGTGCGGTACGATAGTCCACCGTTCTCTGATATGAATCCAGCCACAATAGGCTTGGCATGTCGGTGTGAAAATTCCTTGTATCATACCTATGATACCTTATCATGCACTCTTGTTCGCGAGAGTCGCTGATGGGGGAGTGCTGTACTGTACTCGTACTCGTATGATGCTACCGTGGTTATGCCATACTCGGGCATCATAGCCTTGGCCTGAGTTGGGGGTTTCGGTTGGCACTGGTTCTGTCAGACATGCTTCAGAGTCTACTACCACAACCCCGCATTGCCTCACTTGCCTTAGAAAACATCGTTCCCTTCCCCAAAGGCGAACACCGAGTCTTCCCTCATTATATAAAGTCCATCCACCGAGCCAATAACCCCTCGGCCCCTCAAGGATGAGCTCTAAGGACACTTCCGATTACTTTAACCACAATAGCCATAGCTTTAACACCGTAAACAATTACAACACCTCGCATAGCCACCATACCAATATTCTGTTTACCATTGCTGACGACGAGAGGTCGCGAATTCTGTCATGGATATCACCCCTCGAGCCTCAAACCAGACATCAAGATGTTCGCACGCGCCGGCTTGACAATATTGGGGACTGGCTTCTAGAACTTCCAGAATTTCAGGCATGGTACAACAGCGATCCTGATTCTTCTATTTTACTGTGTTCTGGAAACCCCGGGACTGGAAAGACATTTATTAGGTAGCGTTGGGCTCAAGGCGGCAAGACCCTCTTTATATGTAACCATCACTTACGGCCCTTGTGTTAATTTAGTTCTCTTGTAATCGACACCTTGTGCGATAGAAATGTGGGGGGGAGCGTCGGTATTGCGTGTTTTCACTGTGATCATCTTCACCAGAGGGAGCACGTTGCTGCCAATATGATCGGGGGGCTTCTAAAGCAGCTCCTTCGAGCGTCGCAGGATATTCCCGAAGAGGTTCACCAAGCATTCCGGAGCTAGATGGGCCAACTTGGGGGTCGAGGACTCCGGCTTCCAGAATTGATTGAACTGTTTCAGGTGGTGCTTCCATCCTTCGATCGGATTTTTATGTGCATTGATGCGTTGGATGAGTGTCTGGTAGAGCATCGAATCGAGCTTCTCCGCTCTCTTCGCAAAATTATACAGATTTCAAAAGGGACTCGCCTATTCCTAACGGGGAGACCGCACATCTCGGAGGAGGTCAAACAGTATCTCACCATCCCTACTGTTATTCTGAATGTTCGACCTAGTCAGGACGATATCACAAAATATCTAGCTCAGAAGTTGGATGACGATCCTCATCCTGAAGTAATGGATGATAAGCTGAGGGCCGAAATAATAACAACCATTCCTCAGGCATTTTTCGAAATGTGAGTTGTTGAGCTGGTAGAGTGAGAACCTAGAAATTCACTGACGGTATGAAGATTTCTGCTCGTTGCTTTGCAAATTGAAGTGATCTTGGGACGGACGACTATCTCGGGGAGAAGAGAAAAGCTCCGCCGGATGGGAAACGGCCTAGGTGACGCGTATGCGGCGAATTTGGATAGAATAAGAGAGCAACGCAGTGACCGACCAGGACTAGGAATGGCAGTCTTAATGTGGATTGCTTTGGCGGAGCGACCTCTGAGCGTCGGTGAGCTTTGCCATGCCCTAGCCGTGAGGGTTGGCCCATCAAGGTCCGCTGATCTTGATCGCGAAAATGTTCCTCTAATTCAGACCTTGCTGGGATGCTGTCTTGGGCTGGTAATTGTCGACAAGAAAACCTCAACGGTCCGTCTGCTGCATGCTACCCTGCAGGATTATCTGCGCGGCCATCCTGAACCCTTCTATAACGCTCATGCTACTATGGCAGAGGTTTGTTTAACGTATCTAAACTTCGAATCTGTCAAGAATATTCCACTTAATCCCCTCAGAATTCCCTCAAAATTGAGCTTGGTGGGGTATGCTTCCTGCCACTGGGGAATTCATGCCAAGAAGGAAATCACAGAGCCAGTGATGTCACTTGCTCTCATACTCCTCAAACATTTTGAGAATCATATAGCCTCAGAAGTATTATTTTGCCATGGTCAGGTGAGGGGTGCGTTCCGGTCAAATTTTGCCCGCCACAAATTCACAGCGCTGCACTGTGTTGCAGCTTTTGGTATTAGTGAACTTCTAGCGGCAGTGGGTGTTACCGATGTAAACAAGGAGGACTGGCTAGGCCGCACGCCGCTCACTTACGCTGCAGCGAACGGACACGAGCAGGTATTAAAAGTGTCGCTGGATCGGAAGGGTGCCAGAATCAATCATCGAGATGGCTCCGGGCGAACACCACTTCACTGGGCTGTTTGTAGTGACTCTGAGGGAGTGGTGAGGCTTCTGGTCTGCAGGAATGATCTCGACCCCAATTCAGCAGATATACATGGCCAGACAGCGCTCCATTATGCTGCGAATAGTGGGAACAAAGGAATAGCGAAGATCCTTTTGGCTGAAAATAGCGGGAAAAAAGGGTTAGCAAAGATGCTTTTCAGTAGTCACGGCCCCAAGGCTAACTAACCTAAGGGGCCAATGGGGCTTAACGCCACTCTGCTGCGCTGCTATGAGTGGCCATGAGGAAGTTGTGAAGCTGTTATTGGATAGGAAGGATGTGGACCCCAACGCCGCGGGTTATTACGGCCAGACACCGCTCTTTCGGGCTTCTCAATATGGCCATGATGGAGCAGTGAAGGTGCTCCTGGAACGGAAGGATGTTAGCCCTAATACGGTGGACGGCCAGGGGCAAACCTCGCTCTACTGGGCTGCTCGGAGCTGCCGCTTGAGGGTCGCAGAGCTGCTTCTACGCCGAGGAGATTTAGACCCCAACATAGCGAATGCTAGCGGTCAAACAGCTCTCTCTCGGGCAGTCATGTGTGGAAGAACAGGCATAGTGAAAGCATTACTGGACCGGCAAGATGTCAAATCTGACCTGTGCGATTGTGAAAATAGAACACCGCTCTGTTGGGCTGCTAGGGATGGGTATGATGAGATCGTTGAACAGCTGGTACGCCGGAGAGACCTCAATCCCAACACAGTCGACGGGAGTATAAGAAGGGGTATGCGAGAGTGGTGAAATTGCTACTAGGGAGTATTAACATCAGCCCAGATCTTGCAGAGGATGGCAATCAGGCCCCCCTATATTGGGCTGCTTGGGGTGGCCATGAGGAGGTTGTCAAGTTGCTTCTTGCTCGAGAAGATGTGAACCCTAACGCAGCAGACCATAATAACCAAACACCACTCTCCCGGGCAACCGCGAACGAATACGAGAGAGTAGTAAGACTACTTCTAAATAAAATCTCTGTTAATCCCAACCTAGCAGATTTAAAGAACCAAGTGCCTCTATACTTGGCAGCTGAGAAGGGAAATGGGAGGCTAGTGCAGTTATTTCTCAGTCGGAGCGATGTCAATCCCAACCTATCAGATAGTTATCACCGAACCCCGCTCTATCGAGCCGCAGAGAGTGGTCACGTGGGTGTGATGAAGCTTCTTCTGAGCCGGGAGGACATCGTTCCCAACCCGACCGACTTGGACGGCCGGTCACCACTCTATCGAGCTACTATGAGCGCAAACGAGGAGATTGTGAAATTACTTCTTGATAGAAGCGACGTTGACCCAAATACAGCCCTCAAAGGTGGCCAAACCCCGCTTCATATATCTGTTCGGGGGGGGCATGAGGGAATCGTGAGGCTACTGCTGTGCAGGGAAGATATCGACCCGAACAGAGCAGATGGCCATCACACCACACCACTCCATTGGGCTGTGAGGCGTAACTGGGAGGAGCTGACAAGGCTTCTCCTCGCTCACTCTCAGGTTGATCCCAATCCGGTAGACGAAGATGGCCAAGCGCCACTCCATTGGGCTGCTCGGGGGGGAACGCACGAATAGTCCAGATGCTGCTGGACCGAACAGATATTGATTTGGATCCAGTCAATGACTCTGGCCGGACACCGCTCCATCATGCAATCAAGTATGGACATGACGTGATAGTGGAGTTGCTGGAAGATCGACTGAGTCAGAGGGAGGAGGAACGCTGCTAGTTTCATCCCAGAGATCCAGCTCTTGTAACGGTAAGCTGCAAATCTCCCCAGGTGCACTCTGCATGTATGGTTGCCTGCAACTCACTTGGTTAGTGTTCTTTTCGCATTGAGGTGGCACTGCGCCCAAATGGTAGCTTGCGGGGGCTCTTGAGAGAATCTTTAGCTTTCCTTCATCCTCCATTTCCCACGCCGGCCACGGATAGGGTTGTTATAACATTTATTTTTCATTTAGCACAAGTTTCATCGCCTCGTTGCTTCCCTATTTTATTTTCCCTCCTCCAATATTCACTTTAGCCAATTGTCTTACCAATCCATGTGGTGCACGGTGTTGGCATTATGTACTCGAGTGTACCGGTAGATAGTTGGGAATCCATCTTCCGAGTGCAGGGACAGCCTTCACCACGTTTAAGTGAAGGGGTGGTGGGTGATGCAGTGCAGTGCGTAGTCGCTTGCGGCCTATACCTCAACACAAGTGCCATACGTACCGTGAGAGTATACTCGAGTGGTTCCTGTACCGGTGGTACTCGGGGAAAAAAAAAACAACCACAAACGTAGCTTACGTGTTCAATACACTCTACAGTAAAGTTCTAGCTCTATCAGACCTCGAACCTCTCCATACTCCACCACTGCGCAAAAGTGTTCTCCCGGGTCGCTACCCCAAGTCACGAACTGCACATTCACTAACTACCTATCTTCCCCAGTGTACTTCTAAACGTGTGTTTAGTACGCACGTAACCGATGATTTAGGTGTTCGTTTTCCGGAGTATTCTCAAACGCAGTAGTACCCCTCAGGCCATGAGCTAATATCGCAGCTAGTGACAGATGGTGGCACACACATCTTCAGCCCACAGTAGCCAAGTACCTTGAACATAATTACTATTTGCGCCTAAACTAGAGTTACGAGAGTTGAACTATTTGGTAGGTGTGATTTTAGGTGAAATATCCTGAACGGCACGAGGGGGGGGAGTTGATTCCCGGAGCATTTAGTTTCACAATTTCGATACGATCGAGTTGGCTGTAACTTAGCTTCATAACTCCGCAGCTACGCTTCTGCGTATACGGTCACTGTACCATACCGGCAGCGGGAGTGAGTTTAGCTGATGCTGTCATTGCCTATGGGAGCAAAGCGAGGGATTGGACATAACGACTATTTGCGTCAGTTAATTGCACAAGATACTCGCATCCTAGACTACAAGTACTCCAGTACACACAAATACGAGTACATATCTAAATTAATCCAAAACGAAATGGTGCTGAGGCTCACTACTCCCCCGCTCAAGTTGTTCCATATTCCACCTAAGAGTCGGGGCCATCAGAGATCAAGTTCTCGGAGTATCAGCGGAGAGCAGGCGGGGGGGGCAAAGCAAACTGGAACACAATACCGAGTTAGTATAAAATGCCGTTTCTTACCTACTACACTCGCACTTGCATCTACAAGAGGCTTCCAAGTCCTGCACACCCATACCGCCTGTGACTTTCCACCGAAATGCTGTGAATGAAGCGCAGGCACGCGTCACTTAAAAACACCCATGGTAGTAGCAAAAGTTGTCCGGGGTATCTTACCAAATTAGCAAGATGCCCCCCCCCCTCCTGTAATATCGTTGAAAAATACTTGGTGGGTTTCTCACTGGAGCGAAGCTTTCTGTATCATGATTTAGAATCCAGTCCTTGTGAGTGGCTTTAAAGCGATTACTCACACACTATCACTCGCAACTACATTGCCCGCAGTCGCACACAACGTCCTAACCCCACTCTAGTGCCATTGACTTCTCCATTCTCCCCAACGAGGGGGAAAATAGCTAGCTTGGGGGATGTCACGTTATCAAGAATACCAAGAACAGAATACCGCTTTCTGAGAGACGTCACGGATTGTTGAACAGGATTTAAATTGCGGCTAGTGGCGAACGGCAATAAGGGTTTAGGGAAAATTCTGTCTAGTGATCCCCTATCCAACAGCGGAAGTTGTCTGTTTATTCACAGACATTAATAGTATCCTCCGTGGGGGGTGGCAGCTTGGGGCATCATTTGTGAGTATAAGAGCTCATATTATCAAACCAATTTGATTATAGTTTTACTTCATTGGTATTCAGGTATCATCTATGTTCCGACTAATGAGGAAAAGTCACCTGCCTATTCGCTAGACTGAGGAGTTGACGGTGAACATGAGGATAAACTATAATCCAATGGAAAAGTGGGAATGTTGGCAAAAGCTTGTAGTTTTCAACCTGCTCCAGTTCTTGTAATTTCTGGTGCACGTTTTGGATGGCACGAACCATACCTTTTTTGCATAACTACACCCATATATCCTAGTAAAAGCAACAATTATGAGATTAAACTAATGAGAGCAGTAGTTGAAATCTAATAATGTCTTTCTCAGGTAAATTGTATCCTGCCTGGAGAAGAAGAGAGGTAGCTAAACATATGTTTAGGCTTTCTGCAATTTGCTGGTACTCAGATTGGCATGTTAATTATTACCTCTACTATTACCCTTGCTGAATTTGGAACCAGCATAGTAAACAATCGCATTGATGAGAATCATAAATATGGAGAGCTGGTGAAGCATTCTGATAAGATGGGTAAAGAGATAAGTGGACATTTTGATAAGATGGATAAAGAGACAAGTAAGCATTTTAATAACATGGATAAAAAGACAAGTGAGAATATTGATAAAATAGACAGGGAGATCCAGAATCCTGATAAGAAAATTGGCACTGTTGGCGAGAGACAGAACATCCAGCTCGCCAACAGCTTTTTCTACCATTCAAGATTCTAAGGCACAGATTATGAAAACCCTTGATGGGAAGAAGAGTCCTCTCTCAAAAAAACAATTAAAGTATATGATGCTTGTATCAAAATACAAATCAATAGTCTCCGAGTCCTGTATGAGCTTACTAAAGGTTGAGAGAGGTGGAGTGGAGTAGAGGTAAAGTAGGAGGGGTGTGGGTGTTAGACAGGTCTAGACAAATGGTATAGAAATCCCAGCAGCAGAGAGTTGATGTATTGGAAGTGTAGGGGAGCATGTTGGTCGGCATGTGAAAGTATAAAGGTTACTATATATTATGTAAGTGAGTAGGCATAGTTCTAAGTGTTGGTTTGTAAATGGCAGCTTGACATGTCTACACCTGTATATATATATATAGGCCAAGCTCCACTCTTCAAATGTTAAGTTTTCATTCACTCCTTGACTGTAATTACATCTCTGTGCTCCACTTTGTGTCTGAGTCTGTATCCATTATCACCTTCGTCTCAACTGAGCTATTTTCCCATTTCTATCATATCATAGACATCATGAAGCCTGAAGGTGTTTTCTATCGTACAAAGTTAAGTATAATGTATTCTATGCCCTAGTAATTACCGATCATAGTGAGCCATCTACGGAAATACTGGTTAGCACACCTTGTTATGGAAACACAACTTCCAATAAGGCCTATGTTTGATTCATAGTACTTGTACCATCAACACTATCTTGAAGGGTTTGCGGGTCGGACGCCTTTGGCCGATGTGACACCTTAGGGAACATCATCATCAATGGCTAGCAGTCCACACAGTGCCCTTGTTCTTGGAGACAGGGACAGCAAGGGATCAGCACGGCAATGAAAATGTATTCTTTTTACTGTAGAAATTGTCGTAGAACTGAACGTGACAGTCGTTATACAAGCATCTGACCAGACTATTATGCGATAAGAAACCGATAGACATGGTGTAGCAGCCGCTAACATAACATGCCTAAGGCAAAGTCCCAGTATATATAGGGATGTCTCCCACATAAACATCCCTTACCTATGAGCAGCTGACAACAGGATATCTAGTACTTGTACTGACAACTCTAAAGAGACTCCCAGCTCCTGATTCGCCAAAGGCATTTTTTTATGTATTTTGAGATGAAAGAAACCGGCAACAAGGGCTTATATATGATATAGGGAAGGAACCGTTGTTCCCGAGCAATCAAAGTGGAGAAAACACCTGGTACACTTTCGAAAATTTAATGGTGAAATTCTGGGACGAGACTAGCTTGCTAGGGAGGTTTTTTGAGCTTCATTGCTAGTATTGCGGTACCCTTCACTGGAAACTTACTATCTGCGTTTAGAAATGAGCTCGCGGCATGATGGGGTGGTAAAGGTGGGTGGGTGGTTTGTCAATGATAGCCATCATCCACGGAGAGCTTTGCAGTAATCATTCTTGTTATTCGGGCTGTAGGAACGCATAGCGACCAGGCACAATACACCTCCTTCTCTAGCATGTATATCGAACATATGATAGACACATTTCCGGTCATAGAAGATACACAAAACACATATCATAATATGCTGGAACCAGGACAAAGCGGTGTGAAAAGAACTCTAGATTTTCTAAAAATAAAAAATAAAAAGACCTCAACCGGCTTGTCAATGAATGAATCATTGGATGATTATAACTGGATATCAACAATGATAACGAGCTCTACAGCTTTTCTAGAACCGCCTGCATCCAGCACCTGTACATCTTCACCTGTGTCTTTCTATTAACCAGCATTCTCCGGTCGACGCCAATGTTGTTGATTTTGAAGCCACCAAAGTCACCTTTGGGAAATGTACTTCGTTCTCCATCATCATCATCTCCCTGCGGCTTATCCCCTGCGCCCGGGTCCTCAACCTTCACTTTCTTCTCCTCGCCGGTGAATATCCACCTCAACTCGTCCTCGTCGAAAAAGTACACCCTGGTCCCATCCCCGCGCACATAAAAGTTCTCCTCGAGGTAGCGGCCAGCTTTAAACCTGACCTGTGCCAAATCCCCACGCCCGTAATCCCTGAACAGGACTTTCCCACCTATCTTCAGCATCCTGCGAACGTTGGCGAGCGCATCGGCCCACTGCTCGGGACTCAGCGCGGAAAACACAAACACCATAATAACCGCATCCACGCTCCCCTCCGCCACCCCTTCGGGTAAAGTGTCCCTCTGCGAGAGGTCGTAGACAGAAGCACAAACCCTGACCCCCCTCTCCACCTCCTTCCTAAACTCCTCCTGCCCGCGCACCAACTCCACTGCCTTGCGGCTGAAGTCGCACCCATGTAGACACAGCTCCTCATTCCCGTTGAGCCTCAGCACCGGGAAAAAGGTATTCCCGGCCCCGCATCCCAACTCTACGATGGTGGCCCTGCCAGCGCCCTGGCTCGTCAGTGCCTCCAGCAGCGGGAACTCCTGGTGCAGCCACTTCCGGTCCTTGAAGAAGTTGGTCGTGTTGTTCTTATAGAAGGCGTCCCACCACTTGGCCGGGTCGCTGTTGAAGCGCTGCTTGTTGAAGGGATCCACCGGCCGCGAGCGTTGGAAGGATATCTGCGCGGCCGAGGTGGCGCGGTAGGCTTCGTCGGTTTCGACGTGATCCCAGGCGTTGTGCTCGAAGACGCTGGATGGATCGGTGAGCAGGCGAGTGCCAAACTTGAACGGTGTGGGGTCCTTGGGATCCTTTGGATCCTTTGGCGGGGGGATCTCTGCCAAAGTGTCCTGCGTCATGGCTTCTGACGCTAGAGCACCCCTGGCTGCGGTGGTATGGTAGCAGTGGAGGTACTGAAGTGGGGTAGTGGTGGTGGTGGTGGGATAGTTTATCGACAAACTGATCGGGTGCCAAGATTTACTGCTAGAACGTGAGATTTGTATCGTCGATTCTGGAATGATCCGCACTAGGAGTGGAAAGCGACAAACCATAAGGGTGCAAATATCGCGGCCGAGAAACTTCTTCTAAAATAGAGATAAAAACCCTTGTACCGACCGGCCTTCAATACCCAGTCCAGGATCTGCAGGTCGGTATGATAATTACCCAAATCTTGAAGTGTTGATTTCATATACTCGAGTAGAGAACGCCCACATAATGCTTCAAGAGAAAAATTATAGTGCCTTTGACGGTAAGCTGTTGTCATATCCCCATCAATAGAATTTAGACCCAAAGCTTAGACATTGTTCTAGCACTATTTCACCGTCACAAAGTATCACTCACTCCTAGACCATTCCTGCTTCCGCGTCAAAGGTTTGTTTCAAGGAGACCGCCGGCGGAAAAGAGTGATCTACGATACTTGGTGATATATTGGCATCGTGTCAGTAGTTTCAGTGATGGACATAAAACATGTATGACCATATAAAATGCTCACTCAGTTAGATTCCCTCAGAGTATAAAAAATTTACGCACTGCAGAACACCCCAATATCCCGCCGCCAGATGATTAATCCCAAAGACCACTCTATCCTACACCAACGAAATCCAGCACACCCAGCAAATATACTACAAGAAGCCTCACAAACACGCCAAATGGTCAAACATACCGACACCACTCTATCGATATCCCTCTATCTCTGTATAAGCGAAACCCAGCTTTCCTCAAGCATAACCCCTCCCCCACCAACCAACCCTCACCCCGCGGCCCTCTCCCCCTCCGGCGCCTGTGCCCGCGACACGGCCCCCTCCCCCTCGACTCCCAAAACCTCCCCGGCCCTCCTCTCAAACGCTTCAATCATGACGACGGCAACCTTCGGAGCAACCGCCGCACTGACAGCCGCATAAACCGGATTCTTGAACCCAAACTCCAAGGACAACGACACCACACTCCCCCCCTCCCCCTCCTCACCCTTCACAACCCACCTGGTAATCAACCTCTCAAAAATCCCATTCCGGTCCCCATTCGCCTCAACAGTGCCGGCCTCGGCCGAACACGTAACGACACTGGAAAAAGTCTCATCGAATGAGCCCCAAGCCACACGGAGCTCTGCTTCTGTTGGCAGGTGCGTGTGCGGACAGGTTCGGGTGACACGCGAGCCGGCACAGTACGGGAGGAATTTGTGGTAGGCATTTATGTCGGCCACTAGGCTGAAAAGGCTGCGTGGTGGGTATGGGAGGGATTTGCTGGTCGTGAAGCGCTGTGGGGGTGGGGTAGCGGTCGGGAGAGGGAAGAAGTGGCGGTGGGGTATTAGGAGTTTTTTGGTGATGGGGTGGTGGATTTTTGGGCGGGGGATTCCCAGGCGGGGTGGCATGTTTCGCTTCTGTTTGCTCTCGGGTGAGTAGAGTCGGGGGTGGGAGGTTGATGTCCAGGAGATTGGATGATACCCTTCGGGACGGTGATGTTAGGTGATGCTAGAGATTTCTTTAAATGTTTTTGTTTGTGCCAAGATGAGCGGACATTTTAAGCCGCAATGCTTGGTTGATCCAAGATCTTTTTGTCCGAGCAACTTTACCTTATCATCCGGTCGGTGTGAAACCCGAACCTCCAATACCCTCCAATATCTCTTCTAAGGATAGAATCCCAGGACCCCTAAAGGAGCTCCCATTATAAGAATTCAAGCATGCAACGCATCACAAACAGCCAAAGCACATGACCTGATGCCTACCCAAGCATCACAAGCCCTCACTCGCGCATACAATCCAAGCCCACCCACATTTCATCTGAAGCCTGCCCCCACACAATGCAAAGCGTTCATGATAAATAAATGGAAGAAGCCACAGCCGGTAAGAACGCGCAAGTGGGCCCCCATCACCTCTCTCCTCCTGGGGCCAACAGACAAGGTGCAAAAATTCACTGAATTCTATAACTCCGGCACCGTAGCGTAATGGCTAACGCATTGCTTTCCGGTTCTTCTAAAGAAAATAACTGTCTGGCAAAGATTGTGGGTTCGAGTCCCGTCGGTGTCGAATGCTTTCTTTTTGTGCCATCCCCATTGGATACCACCTACTTTAGCCACTGCGGTTATCGGATCATCATCTCATGCTAATAATATATTATGAATTAAGCTTTTTTCTTTTCTTTTTTTTTCTTTTCTTTTCCAAGCACGGCCGGTATCCGCAACTACCATTCGTCATCCAAAAGCACTGCACCTTTTGATGAACACTCTCTTTTCTAGCATCTGTTTTCAAATGATTTCTCCTCAGCGACCTTCCTCCACGATGGTGATCCGAGCAGTCGCACCCTTGCCCCTCCAGCGCCCATGCCCAAACCTCAACCTCTACCCAAGGATCGTCACCTCTCTCTCGCTGCCGCAAATCCGCACAGTAGCCCTTTTCCGCGGCAAATATTCCCCAAGACCTGCCGTATCCCGACGAGCAGCGGAGACAATGACAATCCCACCCTCAGTTCTCCTCTCAGCTTACAAATCCGGTGCGAGCCCAATATCCCCAGGTACAGCACAGGCGCTCATAAACGACTACGCGGGGAGAACCACGTCTCCACCGTCGGAAGCTCTGGGCGAGAAATTCTGCAGCGGTTTGTTTATTCCATCCCCCCCTTCCTCCCTCCAACACCCCGATTCGTGATGGGGGTAAAAATAGGATAAAGTAAAAACTAATCAACGAGAGGGAGGAAAAAGACCATGGAGTAACGCCGGAGGATTTAACCATCCTAGCCCGTCTCCTCCTCCGACTTAATGCCCGCGGTAGCGCCCCGCTGTTAAGGCATTTACTGACCACCTGCGCGCACATGAATGTGCCCAGCGCGGTGGTGCATCTGCACTCCCTCCTCACGGCACAGGTCCTCCGCGGGAAGGCGTTGGAAATGGCACAGGCGGATCTAGCCGCGATGGCCAAGCGCCTGGCTAGGGTCGCACCGGAGCATGCGGGTGCAGCGTTCAGGATGGGTGAGACGGCGGAGGTGGAGGGGAAACTTGCCGAGGCGGAGGAGTGGTTCGAGAGGGCGGGCCGGGGGGAGGTCATGGAGGGGTGGGTCAGGTTGGGCGTACTGAGAAAGGATAGGGGAGATTTGCAAGGGGCTAGAGAGGTTTTTGAGAAAGCGGCGGAGATGGGGAGTGCTAGGGGGTGCTATTTTCTTGCGCAGGTGATGGAGGAGGGGGAGGGGGAAGAGATTGAGGGGGTTGGAGGGAAGAGGTTGGGATTACTGGCTAGAGCTGGGGCTGGTGGGGTTGTTGAGGCGGCCTACGAACTTGGGTCTTATTGGCGGGGAAGGGAGGCAAGGTTTGCTGAGGAGTGGTTTCTCGTTGCTGCCTCGCAGCGCCATGTGGAGAGTATTGTTGCTCTCGCTCAGCTTTTAATGGAGAAGGGGCGCATATCGAATGCTAGGACTTGGGCACAGAAGGCGGCGAACATGTCAGGGGAGATAGGAGTGTATGGGACGGAGATATTACAAGAGCTAAGTCGGATGGAAGAAGAGAAGAGGCGGGAGAAGAGGCAGGAGGAAAGGCAGGAGGAAAGGCAGGAGGAACAATAAATCCCACCTCGCACTCCACTCTCTCTGATATAACATCCATTACTACTGCCATATTTTTTATTTTATTTTCCGCGTAAGGGCATTCATTGAACCAGGTATCTATTCAACATTGAGTTCCACAATCATCACACAGAAAAACACTATTCAACGTGCAGTGGCCACCTAAGAATGTTTTTCGACAGGGATCAGAGACAAAGTAGATAGTTGAAAGCAAAGCAAAAACAAAACGTCTTTTATTCTAGAGTTCCATTAAGTTCGACTAGAGCGGCGGCAGGTGCCACCGTGGGCTGGATTTTCTGGAGTTTCTCAAGCATTTGGTCGAGAACACTATGATTGTTAAAATTTCTTCCTACATGCCAATGAGGAAAGGGGCAAATACCCAGCGCTAGCAGCCACAAAACCTAAATACGGCTTGCTAGGACTCAGCACCCTGGACAAGTATTCAGGATGGAACTGAACGCCAACGTAGTAAGGGTGGTCCTTCAACTCAACAATCTCCATTCTCTCACCCTTGTCGTCCTTCCCGACAAAGTTCAACCCAGACAATCTCTCGATATACTCGGGATTGACTTCGTAGCGATGTCTATGGCGTTCCAATATGGCCTCCTTCTCACCGTACAGCCGGCGGAGCTTACTCCACTCACTGTTAGGCTGCCAAATGGTTGGGCGAATACCAAGACGCATAGTTCCGCCAAGATGAGTTTTACTGCCCTCAGGCATGAAGATGACAACCGGGTTAGTGGAGCTAGCGGAAATTTCAACCGAGTGAGCATCTATGAATATGTCAGTGATTGATGCTACTATCCGAATAAATCATCCTAAACAGACCTTCGAGACCAACGACATGACGAGCATACTCAATCACTGCAATCTGCATCCCGAGGCAAATACCAAGGTAGGGTATCTTGTTAGTACGAGCCCACTTTGCCGCTGCGATCATCCCTTCAGTACCCCTAGCTCCAAATCCGCCAGGAACTAGGATACCGCTAGACTCAGCCCATTCGTTAGCATCCCCCGACCTAAATGCAGAGGTGGATGGAAAATACCCAGCAGTACAAACATCGTGCCACGCCTTATGAAACTTGGCCGGATTCTCCTGCTTCATGTGATCCTCCAAAGCCTCGGCCTCAACCCAAACCAAGTTCAACTTACGCCCACACCTCATAGAAGCATGCTCTAAACTCTTGACGACACTCAAATACGAATCGTGTAGATCAGTATACTTTCCTACGAGCGCGATATCGACTTTATCGAAAAGTCTGTCCTGTGCAAGGGTAAGAGTCTTCCACTCATTCCAGATATCGATACCCTTCTGGATAAGCGCTGGCGCAATACTGAGTTTCTCTAACTCCAACACGGATGTGAGGAGATGAATTAACTTTTGTTGCTCAAGGAGTAGCGGGACATGGTATGTGGAGTTAACGTCATGAACTGCAACCACCTGTTCATGCGCAACATCGCAGAATGCTGCAACCTTCTCAACAGTAGCTTTACTCAGCGGCTCCTGGCAGCGACATGCAATCTGTTCTGGATTAGCCTCGGTATTGCATCCCTGGTGCACGTAAGTTAGACATACAAGATCAGGTGCGAGGCCCGCAGACCTAACGTCTCTAATGGCCTGTTGAGTGGGCTTCGTCTTCTGCTCCCCATTCACGACTGGAACCAAAGAAACGTGAATCTGTAGAAAGTTCCCTTTCCCAACACGACGTCTAAGCTGTCTCATTGCCTCAATGAAGGGCGCAGATTCAATATCTCCCACAGTCCCTCCCAACTCTATTATACAAGTGTCCGGCTCCTCAGAAGTCTCGTCGACGGGAATGCGAGCCACACGTTCGATCCAATCCTGGATGGCATCTGTGAGGTGAGGAACGACCTGGACAGTCTTCCCAAGGTAATCACCACGTCTCTATTTTTCCTCCAATTTTAACAAAAAAAAATAAAAAAACTCGCCCGCAACATTAATGGCTGAGAGGGAGAACAGACCTCCCGTTCAATGACATGCTGATAAATCTTTCCGGTAGTGATATTATTCTCCCGAGTAAGCGTGATATTAAGGTACCTCTCGTAATTGCCAAGGTCCAGGTCGACTTCACCACCATCATTGAGGACAAACACCTCACCGTGTCTGACCGCTGCCAATCAGCAACCAACGAATGACTCCCCAACTCCCCGACTCTCGAGAGAAAAAGGAGGGAGAAACATACTCGGTGGGAGCCATAGTTCCTGCATCGACATTCATGTACGGATCGATCTTAATGGCCGAGACGTAAAGCTACGGTTTAGCGAGAGGGATACAATAAAACCTGGAGTGAGGAGACAAATCTTAAGACCAATGGTCTTCAACAATAGACCCGTCGAAGAGGCTAATAAAATGTATCAGCACAGACTGTATCTCACACTGCAGTAGAGAATGAAACAATCCCACTCACCAATAACGCCCTTCCCAATCCCACTAATCACACCTAGAACTCGATCGCCACAATCAGTCTCCCATTACCGAACCCGAAAGTATGGGAGGGAGAATAAAATGCTAACCTCCAGAAACTAGTACGTACTTCATCTTTCCAACCTTCGTTTCAAATTTGGTAAGAATTTTCTCAAAAGGAAAGGAAGGAAAAGAGAGACAAGACCCAGTTTGTCGTTGTGAACAAGCGTGAGGCGGGAAGGAGAGGAGGAAGGTAGGAAGGAAGGAAGGAAAATAAAGAGGGTAAGATTGGAAAGGGGATAGGTTACAGTAAGGCGGGCAGGTGAAAAGGTAGGAAGGAAAAAAAAAAAAGAAAAAAAGAAAAAAAGAAAAAAAGAAAAAACTTGAGGCTGTGAACTGATGGGGTGGGCGGGGGAGCAGAGGGGCATTCGAGGGAAAGAGAGATGTACCGGTAGTCTACTCGTACTGTATTATATCATACTTAAACTAGAAGTCCCCACCCACGTTGGCCACTCGAGACCTCGAGCCTTGGGATTTGCTCCCGCAGGGGTAGCAGCAGGCTACAATGTGTTCAAGTCATTCAGTTGTGATGTTATCCTTGGTGTAATTTCTTATTCAGCATACTCAGTGTATCATACTTAGGCGATGTGCTCAGGGTAAGTTGCTTGATGCAATGTTTTTTGGGTTCCGGTATTGAGGTCTGAGGTTACAGTAAGCACCAGCTTGCGTTCTTCAAATTTATATCACCACGGCAACCAGCATCCCTAAACCACTTTTGGGCATTTAAGCAAGGGACGTTTATTTGCTTGTGAATGTAACCCACACATTCGCGAAGTAGTCTGCCAGTAGTCTATGATACTGTACTCGTAGCTTTCTCTTCATCGTCACTACCACCACCACCACCATCACCACAATCACAACACAACACACACCCCCCCAAAAAAGACAATGTCCGCCCCAACAGCCCTCCTCTCACCCCTCCCAATGGCCGACGGTTCCGCGCAATACACGGACGGCCCAACAACCCTCCTAGCATCAATCAACGGCCCGATAGAGGTAAAGCCCAGAGACGAAATCCCGCTAGAAGCTTACCTAGAGATAACAATTAGGCCCTCCGCCGGAGTTACCTGTTTGTCACCCCCCCTTTTCCGCTCCAAATCCGGCCGGCCGGCCTAACTAATGATCCTCCTGAAAGCTGTTCGCGAAAAACACCTAGAAGCCCTCCTTCGCTCCGCCATATCCCCACTCATAATACGTACTGCCTACCCCCGCACGCTTTTGCAAATCACCTTACAGGTTATCCAGCATGAGCAGGCGTCCATGGCGTACGCATTACATACTTTGTTGACTTCGGCTATAGTGGTTGTCATGCTCGCGCTCGTCGATGCGGGGGTCCCGATGAGGGGGATGCTGGCTGCGGCCTTCGTGGAGGAGGGTGATGGGAGTGCGGCGCATGTTTTCGGGTATGCGATTACGGGCGGTGGCGGAGGATGGGGAGGTATTAAGGAGGGATTGGTATTTGTGGAGAGTGATGGGGTATTTGACGAGAAGGGATTCGTGGCGGCCTCGGAGGTGGGGAGGAAGAAGTGTCTGGAGGTCGGAGAATTGATGAAGGACTGGGTCAGGGAGAAAGTCGGAAAGGACATGAAATACCGCTTAAAGTAATATCATGGATTTTCAAAGGGGGTAGTCTAGTGCGGTTATAGTTATGATACAATCATGACAAGACAAACCAAGCAAAATATATACCCAACCAACCAAAAACTCCGATCCCAAACAAACAGACAAAACCCATTTATCCCCAGCACCGAATCTAAACCTTCTTTCCTTCCTTTAACCTCTTCTCCATCTCCATGAAAGCCCTTATCCCAACCGGAATATCCTCAAACCCCTCCCAAAGCCCCCCCTCATTCCCGCCTCCCCCACCCCTACCTTCCAATTTAGCAAGAGCAGCCCTAGCCCTCCCCTCAGCACCCCTCCACTCCTCCAAATCCTCGCGAAACACCTCCCAAGTACAATTAACGCACCCGCTCATACAGCAATTATCCGGCTCCACTGGCTTTGGCGGTATCCACACGCCGGCTACGACCCGCCCGCCCGAGCGCTTTGCCTCGCGCCGCTCAGTTGGGCCGGCGAGGCGGGTCCCGAATATTACACGAGATTTGGAGGATATGTCGGAGGCAGCGGGAGATGTGGGCGGGAGGGTGTTCGCGGGTGTTATCGGGTTTTCGAGGAGTACTGGAGTTATCTGTTAGCTTTTGTGGTGGGGCGGGAGTGAATAGTGGGAAGAGGTGGGGGAGCACGCTTGTAATAACCATGTAGTGGATGAACCTGCTGTTTGCTTTGTATTCCCGCGCTGGTAGATACTCGTGCCGCCCTGAGTGCTGGTATTTTTCTCTTAAAGGGGCCCATGGTTGAAAAGGAGTAAATAACTTATGTGGCCGAGCGATTGATTCCAAGGGAAAAGTTTATATTCGTGGAAACAACCTAGGCACTGACGTCAAGGGTGATTGGTTGGTGTGCGGGTAAGTGTGTTGAAAAAAGGGTCCTAATCAACGGTTCACCCGTCAACTGCCAAGCTAATTTTTTCCACCTCTCCTTTGGTGAGGCCCATGGTAATCATACCGGCAGTCTACTCGAGTACCGCACCCCTAGGCCCTCAACTCCTAACACTTGTCAGACCTAGCACAAACCCTCCCAGTTGGGCCACCCTGTCTGCTGTGATATACCATGCCCTTCCCTAGGTGAATGTAATGCATGCACTAGCAAGGGCAAGAAGCGGTATCGAGTGTATCAAAATAAGAGGACCATAAAAAGAAAGAGAAAAAAGTAACGAAAAACTAAAAACTCCATAAATCATAGTTTACAAGAAATCCACCCATTTTCCCCTTAGCGCAGCCGATTACTTCTTAAGTTTACTAGCCTTCCAAGCCCGAACCAGTCTCGAAATTTCCTTCAGAGCAGCCATGAGCAGTGGAGCCCCTACCGGGCCCATCAGTGGCAGGTACACAGCCACCTTGTGCTCCTCGGGAAAGTATACCTGCCCAACCATACTCTTTTCAAAGAAAGCCTTCTCAGCTTGTTCTTCGGCATTCCTTCCTTCTTCTAGAGCGTCGCCGAAACGGCCGTGGCGGAGCTCCTGGCAAGCCGCAGTGAGAGATGTGAGCGTTGATGAGACAGATGTAGACACAGATGAAGGGATCGAGATGGATGGGAGGGCGAGCGTTAGGCGGTACAGCGATCCCAAGGTAGAGGAAGCGGAAACCAACAGCTCGGCAGAGCGCTGACGGGTAAGGGAATCTAGACGGATAGGCAGCGAGGCAGGATGCGTAGGAGCTCCGAGGAGTGAAAGAAGTTGTGTCGCAAAGATATCCAAGGCCGGCTTGAGTGCCTCCTTGGTCAAATGCGTATTATCAGTTTCAGCCGGTGGATTGTGGATCATAACACCACCCCACTGTGGTAACAAGAACGCGTTGGTTGAGCTCGTCGGGATCATGAGCGGCGACTGGTCGGTCGCCGGGATATAAATGATAAAGTTGATAGTAGGATAGCTTGTAATGCTGACCAATGGCCACTCAGCACTGTTTATAAAGCTACTCAGGTCCTCTTTCTTCAAGGAATATTTCCCGCTAGAACCTTCCTCCTCCGAATCCGGTACCCAAGTCGGAACAACACTAGAAGACAACGAGGCGTAGAACTGTATCTGCGAGTCCACCGTAAACCCACTAATCCCGCCTAGAGCATCAAGCAGTGGTTGCAGGTACTCCGAAACCGCCTCCTTAATCTCCCAGCTACTTGGATCTCCAGCAGCGGTGAACAGCGAAAATGTCAAGTGGTACATAGGCGAGTACTTGACAATTCGACTCATCTTCCTAGCAATCTCAACAGTGTTAACTTTATTAACAACTTTAACCCCATTCCCGCCATTTCCACCCCCGGAAGAAGGTGACGGCGAAGGTGCAGGGGCAGACGAAGCCAGCAAATACGAAATCATCTGCTGTTCCTCCGCAAAGATCTCCTGGAGTGTACTGGCCACGAAAGCCGACAAACTAGTAGGGTTGTAAGACGGCGAATAGAACAAATCGATAGCCCTAGACGAAGGACTCAAAACATAAGAATGCGGAGATCCCGTAGCTCCCTGAGATAGTCGCAGGGTCGCCGCAACGCTCTCTTCCCCATCTTCAACCTGGGAGGAATTCGTGGAAAGCCGTAGCCGTAAATGGTGGGCGGAGAAATCGTTCGCGTCGTCAAGAGCATGTTGGACCGTCTTTAATAGATTCTCCGGATCAGGCAGTGTAGGTGCTTCAACCTCGATAAGTAATGGAAACTCCGCCCTGCAAGCCTTCGAAGCTGTCAGCAAGAAAAAAAACAGGGGGTTGAAGGCAACAGGAAAGAAACACCCACCCTCCCATCAGCCCAGCTCTGCATCTCTTTCAACGGCAGCGGGGCACGGTATATTGCTGTCGTAATCCACCATAACGGTAATCCGACCGTTATGACCACAATCCAGAATGACAGGATCACCAGTGATCGGGTGCGTGTGCCTTCGGGGGTGTCGGGAGGAGGTGGCTTTTTCTTCCGATAAACAGAAGCGGCGGACTCGGGGGGTATTTTCGATTCCGCAGCTACCGCCGAAGCAGCGCTGGCAATTGTTGCCACGACGTTGGGCCCCAATCTTTCAGACATTTTTGAGGGATAGGGGAGTCGGCGGAAACGAGTTGTTGACAACGGGCATCAAGTCATGGTGTTGCCATTTGGAAGCATACGGTAGTCTAAGATGTGGTCCGGCTTGGCGATAGGAAGGCGCCGGATGGCTCGAGCACAAATTTGAAACGGAGAACACAGTTTGCTGAGAACTTAAACCACACACATAACTTGAATTTGATAACTAAAAAGATATCTGCTGCCGGAGCCTTCCTGGAAGATCACAATATCAAGGCTATTGGACGGCAATGAGCTGACTCCGGTATTAAGTAGCGCCATCACTAACCATCACTCGAAAACCCAAATCCAGCGCACATCATAAGCAAGGAAATCAACCTTCAAGACTTCTCCTAAAGCACTGATTCAGGTAGAATGAGAGCGCCGCCAGAAAAGGCTATAAGGTTTAGGCTACAATTGACCTTGACAAAATATAACCATATGATCTTGCAATCTACGAGAAAATAACATTCAATCGCAAGCTAAACGGTAGCCCAGGGTCGGTAATTGCTATCTCCTCTCTGTTGTCCACAAGATCCCTCATTTTCTTCTCAAGATTTGGCCTCGTCTGCTCATTCAACTGTGGTGGTCCCTGGTAATATAGCCTCCGTCGCTCGGTGACCAAGGTCGGTTTCTTGATTTGACTGCTTACAGTATTAATTACGGATTAGATGGATGTAAGGGGGAGACTTACACTTCCGGCTGCTCCTTAAGTCTATCGATGAACTCTTCAAGTGTCCACTCGGGATCAACCGCGAAATCAGTCGCCAAGTTTCCACAAACCGGACAATCGTCCTTTTTCTCGTGCTCAAAGGTATGAGTGTAGACACCCTCATTGCCGATATACATCATATAGTTGTTAAGATATGGATTGGCCCCTGTCGCGATCTTGAGAGCTTCATTGCAACAAGAAGCGGCGATGATGGCGTTTGTCGAAGCGATAGCCGGGATGATATTTTTGATTACGCCCTGGGTTAGGGAATACGTGACGCCGGAAATATTGAACTCCTGGGCTCTATGCAATGCCTGCTCGTAGATCCACTGGACATGCTCCGGATCATCATTATCCAACTTCTTATCTGTCCCACCCGTCAGCCTTCCGCCGCTCCTACCCCACTCCTTAGGGAAAGGCTAAAAATACCTTCAAACACTCTTGGCCACTCCAGAATACTCGCCCACTCAACACAATGTGCCGGCTGCCGGGGAATTGTAGCAAGCGTGCAGAGGGGTACGGCGGTCTGTGGCGTGAGCATATCCAAAGAGCACTCATAGCAGCTCGTGAGCGTGGGAAGAATAACCCTGGACTGCCCCTTGAAGCCTTCCGTCCCACCATCAATTAGTGGCTTCAAACTTTCCGGGTTATCGATATCCACCATATCGACCAAGGTAGCATTAATCCATCTCCTTGCTTCAACACTGTCGAGACCGCAGATAACGAGCTTAAACTGCATGTAGTATTCCTGATCCTTATCCTGAATTGCACCGTAGTATGGGGTTATGGTGACGTCCTTGACACGGGACATTACGAACGAGGCTGCCACCGTAGCTTTCGGTTTTCCGACATCGGAGGCTCGAAAGAGAAATTGTCGGTTAAGGTTCGAGACATCGATCGTGTCCATGTCTATTACATGAATATCTTTAAAGCCAGAGAGGGCGAGATTTTTCAGGATTTCGCAGCCTAGACCTCCCGCTCCGCTATTCTATTGTTAGCGTAATTGTTTGTTCTCCCACTGGAGGGTATGGTACAAACATGACTCTAATTGATAATAACATTAGCTCCTCGAGTATATGCCAATACGAATTTATGGAGCTTACAAGACTTTAAAATCATCGAGGAATGTCTTTTGCATTTCGGTGTCATAGTCCTCATCGGTGAAGGGTCCCTTCCGACTGAGGATCCTATCCAGGTACTTCCTACAGAATGTTAACTTTCATTCAAATCTCCGGTAGGGGAGCGAATTGTTACCATTTTGGGGAGTCAGCTATTGTCATTTTTGCAAGTTCTGACAGCTGCTCGGTTTGTGTGGAGCCGGATTGCAAGGAGACTTCTGAGGATGGGAAAGTGGTCGACGGTTGCTGATTCAAGCGCTGGCGGGGTAGCTTTGAGGTAACAGGGGATTCGCTGGGGGGTCGCATTTGGATGCCGGACGTTGCGCAGCTGAGTTTGATTTATGTGATATGACAGTCTACCTTTTTCGAGCCTCGAGCTCAATGCTCACGCCTCAAACATTTCTGCTGTACGGTACAGCCTGTGCTGGTATGATACAGCGCTCATAACGCACTTTCTACCGGCAGAGGACTTTACAATAATATAGAAAATACGCTTCACACCAGATCCACCGAAACTACCGCGCCCAAACTTTATACTTGAAATACAAATTCCCTTCTATAGCAACCGGGTGAAAAGCCGGTACAGTACATCGTTCAAGCGTCATGAGATATACTGTTTAACGACGACAAAGGATAAAATAGAGAGTGAAATATTGTTAGTATTTCGAGGTAACCTTTCGCTTTGCTTCCTCATCGCCCACCCTATGCAGCATTATCTTATTCGGGTATGTTGGAGTGTTGTGTTGGTGGCCTTTGCTCCAGTCGTAGCTAACCGCGTAGGCGAAGATCGAGCCATTTCTATTGAAGCCGGTGGCGGAGATTATTCCACCGACAGGAGGAAACCCTTTGGTTCTGCTTCTGGAATCTTTGTCCCAATAGTGGAAGGTTCCATCAGCGCCAGCAGTGGAGAAAGTTCCATGCACAGGATGAAAGGAGATAGCATTCACTCCATAAACATCAGCGCCGGCGCCTCTAGTTCTAGCTGTTCTATGGCATTTAAACGAGAAATCCAACCTGATAAGGGAGAAAACTTAGCACGGGTCCGTCCCTCGTTGGTGATGAAGTGATCCAGGGAGAAAAAAGGGAAAAGGGGGAAACTCACTTGGTATTTTTGGGGTCAAGATAGACAAAAGCGCACCTCCCCTCGATACCACCGACTGCGAAGCCCGACGCATCTGGGAAACAGGCAACTACGCGGGTCTGCCACTTGAGCGGACTAATCCTTGATTCGAAAACGGTTTCCGGATTTTTCAGGTTGATGATTTGGAGATGCTTCTCTGCAGTCCCTACGACCAGTAAGTCCCGAGAAACATCCATCGTATAAACCCGCTCGGGCAATTTCACCAAACAAACAGGTTGCTGCTGCCTTAGGTCCCAGTACTTGATTGTTTTATCCCATGATCCTGTGACCACCATTTGGGCGTTAGCTCCTGGCGGAGTAAACCAACGAACAGAGCGGATTGGATCATCATGGGCGGCGACCTGAGTGCTTTGACCTGTAGCAACATCCCACAGTCTTGCAGCGTTATCGGTACCTCCTGAGACGAGTTTATCACCATCCTGCGATCGAGAAACAGGTTAGTCTCGATTCCGAAAGAAAATAGTGGGTTGGTTTAAATACTATTGACCAAGCCACACTGAGAACGGGCCCTTCATGTGCGTAAATCGCTTTACCGGAGTTCGCCCCGGTCTGAGAAACATCATAAATGCGAACTCTCTTGTCCCAACTAGCGACTGCCAAAAGGTCTGACTTCGTGGAGAACTCTAGGTCAGAGATACTGTCTTCCGGGGGTGAGGACAGCGTTATATCGGCACTAATATCTCCCAGACTACTGGAGGTGGTAGCGGATCCGGTGGAAGCAGACCCGGAACTATTTGTAAAGTAAGACATGGCAACGGCCGTTCGCTGTAACAGTGGGGAGGATGCGTTGAGTGAAGAATTGTCAGGATATATATATTATATATGCAGAGAGAGGAAACGGTTGTGGTTAAATTTGGAGGAGCTTCCAGTAGGGAAAACGCGTAGTGACGCGACCAACCAATGACTAACCGCAGAGCCGCTGGGTTGAATTTGATTTCCTCTTTGCTTTTCCTCCTCGGGAGAGAGGCTAGGGTCATGGGGCTCCGGATGTGAAGTCTGGATTCACCATTCATCACTCGTTCGGGGCTCTGATGGATTTGCCCTTCTAGACCTTGAATATGACTCATTTCTTTAAGTTTAGAACCTTGCGAAAAGGCCTTCAGGGGAAAGATATCACAGGCTCGTGGAGTTCAACTGTGGATAAAGTGCAAAAAAACAAGCTTTCGAGCTCTAGACCATCACATACCTCATATGACCGATTTTGCCGAACTTACCCGTCCAATAAGAAATCACAGCTATTGCTACCGAATTTGCTTTTACGGGGGAGAGGGTACTGTACCTTTGGTCCCTATTCCACCATGGGCGTTATGAGTCATAGGTACTGTACAGTACAAGGGGCTTAGAAGGTTGATACGGGGGCTGGTAAGGTTGGAGAAGGCTACCGTATGATATCGTATCATATCATACCGACCATGCGAGATCAATTGTGATTACTGGAAAACAGGGTAGAGTTTAGTGTCTTGCCTTTATATTTATGCCGAATATCCCCCACTGTCTAAGAAACCCCGCACGATAGAAGATAGTATACTAGTTCAATAGCGTTACTCATCGCCAAATACCTCTCCTTGACCGCCAACTACCTGACCTCCCTTGGGGTCAGAAACCAACTTGGTTCTTTCAGCCTCTGGAACATTAGATGGGTCGACCCTTTTCTCGCTGCCATCAACTACGGCTGGGGTTTTCAATCCAATGGGTTGGGGCATGGGTGGGAGGAGAGATCTAGACGTCTCGCGTTGCTGCAATGGCATTAGAGGCCGATGTTCGAAAGTATGGATGGAGTCGGAAACACTCACCTGCTGAATAAGAACGGCATCCATGATGACCAAAGCCGCCATAGCCTCAACGATGGGGACCGCTCTAGGAACAACACATGGGTCATGTCTTCCTTTAGCGGCCAATACACCAGAAGTTCCATCGTATTTGCTGGTGGGCTGGTCGATACCAATTGTAGCGGGCGACTTAAAAGCAACCTTAAAGTAAATATTCTCTCCGTTGCTAATACCACCCTGGATGCCACCCGAGTTATTGGTCGTGGTGCCCAACCTTCCATTCGTATCGGGAGCAGAAGCGAAGGGATCATTGTGGATAGATCCCGGCATCTCAGTGCCCTTGAACCCCGAGCCAACTTCAAAGCCTTTAGTTGCGGGGATTGAGAGCATAGCGTGTGCAAGTTTTGCCTCGAGCTTGTCGAAACATGGCTCACCAAGGCCGATGGGAACGTTCTTGATTATACAGGTGACGGTTCCCCCGATGGAGTCGCTCTTATCACGATATTCCGCAATCAACTTGGCCATTTTGTCGTTGGATTCGGTGTGAGGGCATCGGACTGGTAGAAAAGTATCCACCTTCTCGCGAGTGAGGCCCGAAAGGAAGGCGATGTATTGAGGAGAGGTATGATCTAACGACCCTGGAATATGGATGGGTCCGACGCTTGACACAAAAGCCACAATTTCGATCTTATAAGCCAAACCAAGATACTTTTCAGCAATGGCGCCAGCAGCAACGCGACCTGCGGGAAAAGCGCGTTAGCACCTGTACAAAAGGTCACTTGGACGTAGCCCTGGAGCGCGCTCAAGGGAACTCCTTCATAGGGCAGCTTACCAATGGTTTCCCTAGCGCTACTTCTACCACCTCCCGAGCTAGCCTTGACTCCGTACTTCATGAGATAGGTGAAATCGGCATGACTAGGTCTCGGATACAAGTCCATTTCCGAATAGTCGTGTGGTCTCTGGTCCTGGTTCTGCACCATCAAACCAATTGGCGTCCCAAGTGTATATCCGAACTCAGTCCCAGACTGAATCTGCACGTTATCCTTTTCGTTACGGGGGGTAGTTAGTGCCGACTGGCCGGGACGGCGACGAGAGAGCTGTGTCTGAATATCGGCTTCGCTCAGTGGCATTCCAGGAGGAACGCCATCGACAATACAGCCGACCGAACGGCAGTGGGATTCACCGTAGCTAGTGCGGTGTTAGTCTTTGGCTCATCACCCACGAAAACCATAAAACAGAGCAGTCTCTATAGGAAAATTTATGAAAAAAAAAAAAGGGAACGGGGAAGGGAAAAGTAGAATGGAGCACCCACGTAGTAACACGAAACTGGGATCCAAAGGTAGACATAATTCGTTTGGTAGGCTTGGAAACTGTCGGTTGGGTGAGGAAGGAAGGGGATGGAAGGGAGAAGCTTTTCTCCCTTCTTGCAGTGGGGCGACCAACGACGATGTGGGGTAACCTTGAAGCGGCACTTACCGGGAGGGAGCATACTTGTTCCTTACAGTGCCGGCATGATACCATGCTTGTATCATACAAGTACATATGATACACTGTATGATACGAGCATTATATTATGTAGGGTATATTCAGTACCGCAAAATTAGCCAGCAAATGCCAACTTGGGCAAAGTCACCACTAGAAAGGATTTATCCGGCAAATTTGATACTCGAGTAGTTCTCTGCTTTGGGACAGTACTTAGCAAATCACAATTGGGTTTTTGGCTCGCAATTTCTGTTTGTACAGTCGTGTCTGAAAAGTCTACGTACCCCTCATGGCAACGGCACTACCACTACAAATAATGATATTGACTACAACAAAAAAAAAGATATGAGTACAATTTTAAAATAGATAATAGTAGAAATAGAAAAAAACAGTTTCCCAATGCTACCATTTTGTATGGCTTCCATCTGCATCTAATACAGCCTGAAGTCTCTCAGGCACCCTTCAAATCCATCCATCAAATGTCCCCTGGGGAATGAGGTTCCACTCTTTCTTTGCTGCCTGAAATAATTCAGCAGCACTATGGGTCCTGCTCTCAACCTTGGAGAATCGCTTTCTGAGGACTCTTTTGAGAATTTCCCAGGCATTCTCAATAGGATTGAGATCTGGTGAGTTGGGAGGCCAAGCCAATCTTTGATATCCACAGTCCTCTTGCAATTTTTTGTTTTCTGCTCCATTATGCCATGATGCATTTTCAGCAGCCATATAGATGGTTTGAGGAGCTCTGTCTATGGCTTCTATGAAAGAGATGAGGTAGGGTTGGTGAATCTCAGTTGCATATTGGTGGGAATTGAGACCAAGTCTGTCTCTTTTACTGGTCCTTTCCTCCTCAGTCCTCTTCCTCACAAGAATGAGCTCAGTCCTCCCACTATGTATCATTACAGTATATACACCTATGTTGGTGTACCTTGACTTAAAGCTAGGCTTTATATTTTTTTCTTCTAACTCTTTACCTGGTTTAAGTCTGACCTTTCTTCTCACTGGATTTGGATCATATTCAATTGTAACTTCATCCACAAAAACCACCTATTTCCAAGCTCTTGTCTAGTTCCTCATCACTTTAGCAAACTCCTTTCTCTTCTCCTTCTGTCCTTTTCTCCAAAAAGGCTTTTTCCTAAGTATCCTGAGCTTAAATCTAGCTTCTTTGAATATCTTGCTAATAGTATCTTCGCCAAGTCTAATATTGACTTTTTAAGTAATATCTCTTAGGGATAAATAAGGCTCAGCATCAATAATATCACAAATTACTTGCCTTTTAGCTTCAGTAATCTTGGTTGGTCAGTCAGATCTGGGAGCATCATGGGTATTTCCATTTCTGGATTTTGCATTTTTGACTACTGTTGAAACAGTTGACTTGGAGAGGTTCATAAGCTTTGAAAATTTACCATACCCCATATCAGTATATTTATAGAGGGAATAGATTTCCCTTTTCTGGTCTTCTCTGGGAATTTGGGAGTGTGGTGGTGTCATGGTAGAGAGTGATATTGAGGTGATCATTGGTTGCAGTATTGCCAAGCAGGGGTATGTTGACTTTTCAGACACGACTGTACTCCCTACCGGTTCTTTCATTTACCCTATTATATGAGTACTGTATATGTCAACATGCCAGATACAAGGCTTCTTTTGTAATTATCTAAAGTTACGAGCACTCGTAGGCCTCTTGGCTAGGTCACCTATGACATCTGTAGCTGTGAGCTAAGAAAACTCGAATTTCATGATCGTCAAGAGGACAGCAAAAGCCAAATAATAGACAAAAGGTGTCAACACCTTAGCAGTCCATTGATTGTAGGTAGGTATATGATTACATGAAGTGTTCCCCAAATTGGGTTAATCTGTCAGATTAAAAATTCTTCACTTCCTGAAACCTTCTTGGAATAGGGCTAAAGTTCCTACGATAATGCCACTGGTGACTTTAGGATCAATGGTCGGTCAAAGATTAGCATAGTGCAGCAACCATCTGATTGACTAAGCGAATTCCAAGCACGACTGAGCAGCTTCTGGAATAAGCTACAAATGGAACTGCTACGTAGATTAGGCCCGGAGACATGATACGGTACCATAGATATGAGCAAGAATGTATAGGTAGGAACTTATATAACTGAAGTTCGTACTGGATATTGGAGTTGCCTTTGTTAGTAAGGTCTGACACTTTTTTTCTTTTTTTCGCCCCTACACAAGAGAGGGAATTTTGAACATCTTAGCCTAAGACTCGATCATTCAAGTGAAATTGGAGTTTCAGTAGGCTGACTCTATTGTATGCTTGTAATGAGACTCCACGGAGTACTATTATAGTTAATCAAACCTATACCCATACTAGTATCAAGAGACTACCGTGGTAGGAATGGTGGTAGACTAGAGTCTACTGGCTAGAGGTACTGTTGGTTAGGTACCTCGATTGGGCATACAATACCATACTAAGAAGTATACGGATACTAGTAAGGAGCGGTAGTTACCCTACTCAGTAGGATAACTTAAGTAGTCAATTTAGGAGTTACCCTGAATTACTCGACGGTGAGTCTGAGTAGAGTTACCCTATCTTTGGACTAAAGTAACCATGCCTTGGGCTATGGGTTACCCTGTTATGGAGCCAAGTTACCCTACCATGAAAGTAACTTGTTACACAGGACTTCGGGGGAAGTTAATAGATTGTTTGTCATGCGAAACTACATAGGATATTCGAATCTCAAGTTGTACGGATCACTTCGGCACAACCAGTTGAGCTCTGAACAAGTTGTAACTTGAAGGTGTGGTGGTTAACACCCCCCTCCGGCCCCACTATAAGTCCCTGGCGTTATGGGCTACAGCTTGGAGAGTTGCTGTAAGCCTAGTAAATGTCTTCAGGTGGAGATGCTCCTGCAACACTGTATATGTTCCAGCCGTCTGTTCATCTGGAAGCTGTCCGCAGGATATATGAGGGTGTAGAGGTGAACTTGGAGAATGGTCTCCAGGTAGTTTCGTGTAAAACGGACTAGAACTGACGGAGTAATACTACTTTGAAGTCTAAGGTAGTATGTGAGGTTACTAAAGGCCAGTAGGCAAGGTAAGCGAAGTCCGTTGCCCTAAAAGTGTAATAGTATTGGTGAATCGTTAGGGACTCTGAGACACTAGTCTAAGATCATGATAAGACCTGTTTCTAGGAGGGTTGCCTGTGAGTAGCGCCTATTGGTAGTTAACATTCGAAGGAGTCTATCGGGGGAGCTACGTGGCCATCATCTGGAATGATATGGAATTGAGTAGAACTGGATAGATGTTCAGGGGCTGCGGATGCTTGTAGAAAACTAAGTGTATATGGGTATAGAGTTCTATAGTTGATATTGTATCTACTCGGGCATGACAGCTCACCACTGATATGTCTGCGATATGAAGAGTTTTTACTCCTGCGGTTGTATTGTAGATGCAGCGACTAAAATACTTCTGTCGCGTAGGTGTTAGCAAACTACAAGAGTAGTCTAGTTTGCTACCGGGGATCTTTAGTCTGACTTGTGGAGGTTAGCTAGGCAGCCCAAGGGAGTTGGGTGCTCACAAATACAGAGTAGTGATGGGGAGCAACTGGCAGTATATGAAATCTACTTAAGTATATGTGAGTTCTCCTCTACTCTGACAATTAACTACCTCTCGAGATCAGGACTTAATTGAGTAAAAAGCTGTGGCTTAACGATATTGAGTTTTACTGTTTTGTTTCTTCAAACTCTACTGTTGAGACATTTGATATTTATTATATTTGTTCACTTTACGGAAGAATTCATTTCAGTGTGGTCACAACCTTGGGATCCATCTTCCCAGAGGGAGCCCCTGTTACAATGCTAGAACTGCAATGAGATTTAGGACCACCTAGTACTAGTACATACGCGAGCTAGTATTGGAAATTACGTTATTCCTTTCCTATCTAGTCATGGGGCTGTGTTGGTCATGTGACACAGCCACATGGCTGAGTATATATGCTATTGTATTCTAGCATCTTTTAGAGATTTCCTTAGTATGAGGTAGTATTTGTGTAATGATAAACTGGTATATAAAGAGCAGGTTTAGTCCTGTTCTCAGAGAGAGCGTACAAGCTTGGATTAATCTTTTGGTCTTCAGATTTTATTGTCATTATCATTGTTACTTCATTATCACAACAATTAGTACAATAGATACAAATATTTTCAGGTTATGAGCTCTAGTTTGTGAAATACTTTCACATTCCCACCATAAACCAGAAGATTTCTGGAGCACTCTAAGTGAATACATTACCGTTTCCTACCCTCAATCAATCCTCTATTTCATTGTGATGAAAGCTTTCTTTTAAGATCTACACTAGTGCCTATGTACTCTTTCTAAACACGGCCTTCACCACTGCAAATGCTGCAATCAAATTTAACTGCTAGACTTTGATAATTTGTTTCCTGTATACTGTGAACTTTACTATGAAAATATTATAGGTTACATGTTAGATTATCTCAAGGATATCAATCGATACAAATGACTTCCTAACATAAGAAAAAAACTAAATGGTTTACATCATGATGTCATCTGAAATCAACACAAAATCTGGCTTTAGCATTTTTGTCAAGGACTACACCAAACTCCATGGTCAAGAAAATTATCAAACCTGGACTGACACCTAGGAGGTAGCTTTTGAAGTCCTGGATTTGTGAGATGTAGTATTAGGTGAATCTGTGAAACCAGAACCTCCTTTTGAAGGTAGCGCAATAACTTAAATCACACGGGTCAAGGAATAGACAAGGAAAGACATAAGAGCAAAGTTTTTCCTATAGAAAGCTGTTGACACTACCTTCTATGCTGACATTTCTGTCAATGTAACCTTCAAAGGCATTTAGCAAGCCTTCAAAGATAGATTTGACAAAGAAACCCCTGCAACCAACATGATCTTCATGGAAGCTATCTGGAAGATTAAACTCACCTCCGGATAATCAATCCCTGATCATACAACTGAATTTGAAATCGATTGGAACTAATTTGTCCAATGATATACTAATGATACTGACTGAAGGCAACATTGACGAATTCTGTACTGCAATGAGATCGTGAACCCAATCTGAGTCAGTAAAAGGAATAGTGTTCATGTTATCCATAAGTGACCTACATCCTGACATATGTAACATGTTAACAGCATGAAAAACTATTCACTATATGGATGTT